AGGTTCCACCACAAGCAGGCTGCAGAACTTAGCAGCATAAGCTATGTGGTTCTGACTTTAGAGTCATGAAGGATACAGATGTAAAGCAGTTGTGGAATCCTCTTCTGTAATTAAAAAAAGCCTCTGAGGCCAGGCATGTGGCAGGTGAGTCCCTGAATGGAGGCCAAAAGAGGCCATTGCATGAAGTTGTAAAAGTGAAGCCTGAATTGCATTGGAGACCCCAGAATTTTAGAAATGCCAGAGTCATGGGATATTGGCCCACAAGCGCTGCACACAGGAAATTGAAGGAACCCGAGAAAAAGAAGTGTGTTTCAGTCAGCAAAGCAGGAAAGGAAGGCTCATCTAAGCTCTTTGACAGCTGAGCTATAGGATTTGGAGTTTGCCCTGCTGGGTTTCAGTCTTGCTTTGGTCCAGTATTTCCTCAATGTGCTTCCTGTCCCTCACTTTTCAAAGGGCAATGTATATTCTGTATCGCTGTATGTTGGAAGTATGATTTTTGTTTTTGATTTTACAGAGTGTTACAATTAAGAGCTTGCCAGAGTCTCAGAAGGGACTTTGGACTTTTAAACTGCGTTGAGGCTGTTAAATACTATAGAATTTTTAAAGTTAGGTTAAATGCATTTTATATTATGATATGGTCATGAGCTCATGGTAGTTAGGGAGTGCAATGTAGTAGTTTGAATGAGAATGGTCCCATAAGTTCTTATGTTTAAATATTCGGTCCACAGTTGATAGGAATATTGGAAAGGATTAGGAGGTCTAGTCACCTTAAAAAGGGTGTTATTTGGGGGTGGGCTTGAGGTTTCAAGGGCCCACACCATTCCCAGTTAGCTTTTTTCTCTTTCCATCTCATAGCTGTTGCCTCAATTATGGTATCTCAGCAACTACCCCAGCACCATTCCTGACTGCCTGCTGCCGTATTTCCCATCAAGATGGCCATGAACTCTAGCTCTCTGAAACTATAAGCAAACTCCCAATAAAGACTTTCTTCTATAAGCTGCCTTAGTCATGGTGTTTTGTCACAACAACAGAAATGTAATTAAGACAAGCTCTAAATACCTACATTCAAAAATCAACAGTTGATAACCATCTGTAACTCCAGTTCTTCTTTTGGCCTCCTTGAGCACTATACACATAAAACACCCATAAAAACAATACAATAAAAACTTTTAAGCAGAAAGATCTCAAACAAACAACTGGTGATGAACCTTAAAGCACCATAAAAACAGAAAGCAATATAGAGAGAAATAATGGAGATTAGGGAAGAATTTAACGAAACAGAAAAAAAAACAATAAAAAGAATCAATAAAGCAAAGAACTGGTCCTTTGAAAAGAGAAAATTGAAAACACTTAGCCTAATTAACCAGAAAAGAGAGAAGATCCACATTAATAAAATTAAAGAGATTGAAAGGGAGATTAACAACTGACACTAGGAAATTCAGAGAATCATTAGAGGCATGCTTTAAAATTTTGTATTTCACTAAATTTTAAAATCTAAAAATGGATCAATTTCTAGATACATGTGACATACCAAATTTAAACACGCATGAAATAAACAAATTAAGCTTCTATAGAAAATGAGGTTATAGCAGTAATTTAAAATCTCACAACAAAAGTCCAAGTCCAGGTGGAGTCAGTACAAAATTCACCAAGCCTTCAAAGAACTAATACAAAGACAACTCAAATTATTCTGTAAAACAGAAATGGAAAAAAAACATTTCTAAACTTTTTTTACAAAGCCAGTATTACCCTAATATCAGATAAAGATCCAACAGCCAACTATTATACACCAATCTCCCCAATGAACACTGACACAAAAATTATCAATAAATTACTTTCAAACCAATTCAAGAATACATCCAAAAGAATCATTCGATACTCAGGGCGTTGGTGGTGCATATGTTTAGTCCCAGCACTTGGGAGGCATAGGCAGGTGAATCTCTGAGTTTCAGGCCAGCCTGATCTACAGAGCAAGTTCCAGAACAGGCTAAAAGCAATACAAAGAAACCCAGTCTCAAAAAAAAAAAAGAAAGGAAGAAAAATCATTTGCTATAATCATGTTGGCTTCATTCTAGAGATGCAGAGATGGTTCAACATACATCAATAAACACAATCCATTCAAGAAAAGAAATCACATTATCATTTTATGTGATACGAGAAAGGTCTTTGACAAAATCCAACATTTCTCCATGATAAAAACCCTACAAGACTAGGAAAGGAGGGAACATACCTCAACATAATAAAGGCTAGCTATAACAAACAATAGTCATCATCATGTTAAAAGGAGAAAAACTAAAAACATTTCCATTAAGATCTGAAACGTAGCTGGGCGTTGGTGGCGCATGCCTTTAATCCCAGCACTCGGAAGGCAGAGGCAGGCAGATCTCTGTGAGTTTGAGGCCAGCCTGGTCTACAGAGTGAGTTCCAGGGCAGCCTCCAAAGCCACAGAGAAACCCTGTCTCGAAAAACCAAAAAAAAAAAAAAAAAAAAAAAAAAAAGATCTGAAACGTCATAAGAGTGTCCATTTTTACTACTCCTATTCAGTATTGTATCTAGCTAGAGCAGGAAGACAAGGAAATAAAAGGGGTACAAACAGAAAAGGGAAAGTATCCTTACTTGTAAATAACATGATTCCATACATAAGCGATTCCCCCTAGGAAACTCCTAGAGCGCTAGGAGTCAGGGTTCTTTACTGGAACAGAACTGATAGAATATACATTAATGGGGAGTGGGGGAGGAGGGGAGGGAGAGGGAACTGAAAGTGACATGCGTAAAAAGTTAAATAAAAATATATGGAAAAATATAAGTAGGCTTGGGAAGAAAGAAAAAAGAATATACATTAAAACATAGTTTATTAAGCTGGTTTATAGGATGTGGTCTGGGTAGTCTAACAATAAAGGAAATGCATGAATCTGGAAGTAATTTAGTCCATGAGGATGATGCCTTTGGTCTAAGTTAAAACCCTGAAGAAGTTGGCAGCAACAGAATAAATGAACTTGCCAGTGAAAGTGAGGGCAAGCAAGCAAAATGTTTTTTAGCTACCAGAGGGTTTATCCTAGATTTAGGGTGGGTCTTCCTATTTCAAATAACCTGATTTAAAAAAAAATTCCCCACCAGAGTGCCGAGCATCCTGAGTCCCAGTTAATCACCAATGTAGTCAAAATGACAACCACGATTAGCCGTCACAAACACTTAGGGATCAGGTAAAATAGTAGAAGAGGGGGCAGAAACACTGAGAGGGCCAGCAAAAAACATTGGAAGAGCCAAGGAACCAGAATGCCAACTGTGAAATAGTCTTCTAGACATAACAGGAACCTGCAGAAATAAAATTTCAGCAATATGGTCACCTAAACAAGACTGGCATAATGACGCCAGGTAACACCCCAATGTGAATGGGGAAAATTTCACAGGGTCCCACACCTAAATACAGAGCTACAGGAAATCAATGACTGCTGAGAGAGAAAGAATCAGTTTTCTCCAGAGATGAGCCATTAATACATTATCCAATCCAAAGTGGTTAGCCTTAAACCCTTGTATATATGAGCAACACTAAATGGATTCAGGGGGTAGGTGGGTGTGTATAGCAGTAAGAATTAAAGAAGAGGTCATGAATTTGAGAGGGAAGGAGGGGAACATGGGATGAGCTGGAGGAGGAAGAGCAGAGTAGCAATAATTATAGTGCCCAAATGAAATTCTCAAAATAAAAACTTTAAGTTAAACTAAATATTATATTTTAAAGATTTATTTAATCCTCAAAAGTGGTTGTGTGGGGAACTAATTATGAAGTTTTAATTAAAGAAATCAGAAATTCTAACACCATAGCTAAATTACCCAAGTATCTGTAGTTATATGAATTGAAGGAACATTACTTCTATAACATTACAGGATTTCTAAAATTTTCTGTTGTCTAGCCTTTCCTACCAAAAAAAGTCCACCCCATAAAAGGACTATATGTTCCACTATACCATAATTATTTGCACACAGCTCTAAAACTTCTTTATGCTCATTTTTTTTTCAGAAGTCCATTTACTTTCCTCCTTACAATCCTTCATACACACTCTTCTCTCAATCGTCAACATTTTCACCCTTGTACTCACTCATAGTAAATGGCCTTAATTCTTCTATTATTGTCTTAGTTTGGTTTCTATTGCTGTGATAAAGACTATGACCAAAAGCAACATTGGAAGAAAAATATTTATTCCACCTTATAGCTTGTAGTCCAGTCCATAATGAAGGGAAATTGAGGGCAACTCAAAGTAAGAACCTGGAGGTAGGAACTAAAGCAGAGACCATGACAGAGTGCTCCTTACAGGCTTGCTCTCCATTGCTTTCTCATCCTGCTTTCTTGTATGACCCAAGTATGCCCAAGGGTGGCACTACTCCAGCGAGCTGGGACCTCCCAGATCAATAATTAATCAAGAAAATGCCTACATAATTGCCGACAAGCAATCTGATGGGAGCACTCTTAGTTGAAGTTCCTTTCCCAGATGCCTCTAGCTTCTGTCAAATTGACAAAAAACTAACTAGGATAATCATTATGGAAACAAGATGTAAAACCAAAAATCCTACAAAATTCCATTCATTTGCCATCACTTTGTGTCATATATTACTTCTTCTTATCTATTACTACTGTAGAATGCTTCCTAACATTCAACCCTTTATTTAACCAATAAATTTCACTCTTCTTGCCTATTGTAAAACATTCTATTAAAAAGTTTGCCTCTGCTAACCCAATTCCCTCTTTAGTAACTTCACCATTTATCTTCTTCCTTTAAAGTAGGACCTCTTGAGCTTTTTATACTTAGTAGCAAAAGTTGCCTCCATTTCTTTTCCATCATCCTCTTCTTAAATTCTTCCAATCACCGAAATTACTGGAAAAATTACCAATGATCTCCCATCAATTTCATTTTATCTCTGAGAAACATTATTTAATATAATTTATCATTCCATTTTCTCAAAATTATAATGATAAAAGACTCTCAAAGAATCAATGAGAAATATATGTTTGCATCCAAAATATTTTAATAGTAAAGAATAAATTATAAATCTCAATAATGCATTTCTAATAATCAAAAGCGCAAGTTAAAAAACTTGGAACTTTAATATCCATAGCAAATAAAAACAAATGTAATTATCTGAATACAATTTTAAAATTCAGATAACATATATTTAAGCCAAAAATATAATAACATGAACACAAATTATTTATGCAAGTAATTTTAAAGTCTAAATTCCTGAGTACAGTTTGGTCTCTGGTAAACAATAAAATAGTTAAACATTTAATGTTATTAGACTCTATGATCAGCATTGATTTCATGAAATTAAGCAAATAACTTTTCTGCTTCCTTTAGTCTTCTTTTCCTGTCAGTTTTAGCAATTGTTGCCCAACGGTCCTCTCTCATTTTTCTCACACCTCCAAGTGACACAAAAGATTCAGGAGTTGATAGTGATAATGGAGTCTAAATATAAAATAAAGTAAAACAGTATCTTAATTTTTTTAAAAATCAACTTTTATATTTTGCTTTCAGAAATAAAATTTAAAAGCTACCTGTTTGGGGGTTAGATGAGAATTTGGTGAATTATTATTGTAAAGTCTGTTTGATATCTCTTCCTCTGAAACCATGCTCTGCAGAAAAACACAAAAAAATGCAATGTTACAGTTATCATCAATATTATATTAGTAAAATTTTGTCAACATAACTCCTGTAAGGAGAATGAGAAGTAGAGCAAGTAGAACAGAAGGAAGGTTAGAGAAAGAAAGGAGAGAGAGAGAGAGAGAGAGAGAGAGAGAGAGAGAGAGAGAGAGAGAGAGAGAGAGAGGAAGAGAATATAAAAAGGGAAAAAGGACTTGTAACATTTGAACTTTGAGATTTAAAAGCAAAGTACATATTGTGTGTAAAACTCTAGAAAGATATACCAAAAACCAAGTGTGACTGCTGTTTGCTACAATTGGGGTGTACGACTGAACTTAACCCCCCCCCTCAAAAAATTGCCAGCCAAAATTTCCTTTGGAAGATACAGGAATTGAAATAAGATTCCAGAGTTACAAAACAATTATTTCATTTCATTTCTTCCAGCATAATTGTAGCCTAGGAGACAAAGAGGTTCCTGGTACATCCTGTTTTAGAGGTCATGCACAATAATTTTATTTATTTTAATATTCCATAGTTTTTCAGTGCTAGGGATTAAAACTAGGGCAACAATACTAGACAAATACTACCACTGAGCTAAAACCTTACCCATACAACTCTCCTTTTAAAAAATAAAAATAAAAAATTTAAGTCATTTTGAGTATCACAGTAGCTAAGAAATTGGCCAAGATCACTCTGCTAGAAATATAGCAGAAATTAAAACACTGGAATGTTTACATCTAAAGTCCAGGGTATTTCTACCCATTCTTATTACATTTGCATGTATTTGGACTGCATTTTTCACTGGAAGATATTTCTTATAATGACTTCCATAGATATGGTACAAAGCTGTATTCAAAACTTTGGCTTCATGCCTTACAGTAGGTATGATCTTATAAAAGGAATTTAGTTTCCTCAACTATAAAATGAAAATGACAACATTCTCTATACTTTTATAGAATGAAATTGTTGCAATAAACAATTCAAATAATCTACAGAAAACATTTTAAATAGGTCCTAGTTCATAATTTTAATAATTTAATAATGTTAATGGTTATCTATAGAATTCTGGAACTCCATATGTTTGTTACTTCAATAACAGGGTTCTAATGTTCAACTACTCAGTATTCCAAAACAACAACAAATTAGAGGCTCCTAAGCAATAATAACCTTTAAATATCTGATAGTCTTAAGTGAAAATAATAAAACAGGGAGGCAGGGGCAGGTGGATTTCTGTGAGTTCAAGGCCAGCATGGTCTTCATAGTGAGTTATAAGACAGCTACACAGCTGTCTATGTAGAAAGATCCTTCTCAAAAAAGAAAGGAAAAATAAAGAAATGAAGGAGAAAAAAAGAAATGAAATGAAAAAATGGAATCGTTGACTTTAACCAGAATTTTGTCAAAAAGGATAAGTAAAGTTTATTGCTCAATTTAGTAGTCTCTTAAATCATTCTGCATTTAATTTTTTAACCTTGATCATCCTTTAAGTATTGATATGTGTAAATTAAACATTCCTATAAATAATAGGGGAAGTAGCTTCCTTAAACATACTATCCTTACTACATTACTCCTTAGTAGTGGCGGGATGTTACAGTTGCCAATCAATACTGTAACATAAATATCAATCATCAGTAGTATAAAATAAAGCTACAAATAACACAAAAAAGATGAGACTCTTGTTAACAAATTTGGTTGTGAAACTATTAAAATATTAATTCCACTTCTATGCTTTAAATGCAGAAAAACTTCATAATATTTTTCTGGATAACAAGACAACGATTAGTCATCTGATATGCCAAGTATATGAGATGGTATGTTTTAAGTATCATGTTTTTGGAAATTTAGACAAAAACTGTTTGAACTTTAATGTCTGTCAAATGACATGAAAACTATGATTCTGTGTTGTGACAGTTTTGTTGTATTTTATTATCACAATGATAGATAACTATGCACATAGCTATACATTTATATCAAGAAATAACACATAATAATATGAGCAAATAAAAATGCTGGTTCTTTATAATACTTTTACCAAGAGATCAGTAGTTTCCGAACTATCTGAATTAACATCAAATTCAAAGACTGTTTTTCTCTTTTTATTACTTCTTCCAGTAGGTATATACTTGTTTTCTCTTTGATACATTTGCATTTTAGTTGGTGTCTTCACTGTATATTCCTGTGCAAAAATGAAAAAAAAACATATAAGTGCTTAATGTATGTATAAGTGTATGGTATGATACATTTATAATCCACCCCCAGGGGGTTCTTATGTGTCCACATAGACTATATGACAGGGAGAAGTTCCAGTAGAGGAAGAATGGCCATCATCAACAATAACTTGCATTTTTTTGAAACTGTGAAAATGGCCAGTGGCGTAAATAATATTCTTAAAGTTTTCTAAAAGTTAATCTTCTGATAAAGTATTTTACTGATAATTCAAAAGCTGCAAAGTTGCTTATGTATAGATTATTTACTCCTGGTTGACTATGGAAGACTTGCCAAACTCCTAAGCAAACATCTTAGGAGCAGGATGCAATTTAACCCATTATTGTTTCAATGCTATCATCAGTCAATTTTTTACAGGTAAGATGAACATAAAGACATACATATCTGATGGTACAGATTCTAATTTGATGGATAGATCAATATGATGTATCAAAGTGAAAATATTTATAATTTTTCATGATTCATCCAGTATACTTCAGAATGTTTCCATACACAGACAATGCAATATTATATGTATTTACTACCTTACAATATTTTTGACATAGTATTCACGAATTGTTAAATGAACTATTCTTTTCAGAATGAAAATTAACATGTGAAATAATTTGTTAAAAAATAGTCACATGGAGAGTAACCTTAACAATAATTGAACTCTTCACTACTTTCACTCATGAGTCCCACTGTCATTCTTGACAATGGATCCCCTCTATAACTTGCAATATCACCTTTCTCCAAATAAGATTACCTGACTTGTTTTGTAAATCTGTATGAGGCCTTATTTTAAATTATTTGGATAAGAGGCCAAGAACTTGGAAACACTAGACTCAGACCCCAATCACCAGTAACAGTATCCTTCAAAATGAAAGAGAACTTAATATATAATGTATTAATGTGAAATATTAATAATTAATACATAATATAGTGTAACAAATATGTAATTTCTAGATAAAGAAATATTGTCACTCAGATTTTTTATACAAGAAATACTAAAATGAGATACTTCAGTCTAAAATGAAATGATGCTAGATTCAAATCCACAAGAAGAAATTCATGGTACTAGGATGAAGACAACTGCATAGGAAACTATAAAAGATAATATAAATTTTATTTGTAACTTATTTATATTCCTATCTGATTTTAAACACAAAATAACAATTGTAATGCTATACAATGCCTACAATATATTAACACATTGTTTACCTAAAAATGACATAATAAAAGGGGAGAAAGAGAATAAAACTATACTGGAGCAAATGTTTTCAACACTGTTGAAATTACATTAATACAAATTCAAATTAAATAATTTTAATTTAAGATGTTGTAATTGTTAAAGTACCATCAAGCAATGACTCTAAAAACCTCAAAATTAAGATTTCACTCTAAAAAATACTTAACCTAAAAGGAAGGAAAGATACAAGAAAAAAAAATGGATTTAAGATTTAGCATAAGCAACAAAATGATGGAAGTACTTTCTACTATCTCAGTAATTAATTTGATGCCAATAATCACTCTAATCAAAGAACAAAGACTAGTAGAATAAACAATGTTGAAAAGATGTGAATTGTATGCTGCTCATAAAAGGCAAACTTTAGGTCTAACACCAAATTTTTTTTTTTTTTTTTTTTTTGGTTTTTACGAGACAAGGTTTCTCTGTATTGTTTTGGAGGCTGTCGGTCCAGCCTGGCCTCGAACTCACAGAGATCCGCCTGCCTCTGCCTCCCGAGTGCTGGGATTAAAGGCGTGCGCCACCACCGCCCGGCTCAAACTTTAGGTCTAATAGCAAAGAGATTAGCAGTAAAAGGGAGAAAATGATGAACTGTATTAAGATAAAGAATGGCTTTTTGTTTGTTTGTTTGTTTGTTTTCAAGACAGGGTTTCTCTGTATTGTTTTGGACGCTGTCCTGGAACTCACTCTGTAGACAAGGCTGGCCTCGAACTCACAGAGATCTGCCTTCCTCTGCCTTCCATGTGCTGGGATTAAAGGCATGCGTCACCAACACCCGGCTAAGAATGGCATTTTTAAGAGCTCAGTCTATTAAGATATGTAGACAAGCAGATCCCCCCAAACACATGAGCTCATAATCAGGAAAAATAGTGAATTCAAATTTACACTTTTACTAATTAGCAGATCAGCTAAACAGACATTAAGGAAAAAATGTTTTAAAGATTCTATAATGCAATCGAATGGATAGTAAGGAAATTCATAGATGTGCATATAGTACATAATAAATATCTAATAGGTTAAGAAGAGTTACAGGACCCAGACATGGTGGCATATACTTCCAATACTAGCACCCAGGAATCAGAGGCAGGCAGATCTGAATTTGAGGCTAACTTGGTCTATGGAGCAAGTCCCAGGGCACCAGGGCTATACATATACAAGAGAAACCCTGTCTCAAAAAAACAAAAATAAAAACAAAAACAAAAATTAGCTGGGTGTTGGCGGCACACGCCTTTAATCCCAGCACAGGGGAGGCAGAGGCAGGAGGATCTCTGTGAGTTTGAGGCCAGCCTGGTCTACAGAGTGGGTTCCAGGATAGCCTCCAAAACAATACAGAGAAACCCTGTCTTGAAAACAAAAATTTAAATTAAAAAAAGAAGAGTTAAAGGAAGCTTGAAAAAAAACATATGAAAATCTATAGAATATAATAAAACCAAAGCTTGGAAGAAAAACTGTAGCTACAAATGCCTCCATCAAAAATTAAGCTCAAGAAGCCAGGCATGATGGCTCACAACTGTACTCCCAATTAAGACCAGCTGAGGTTACATATCAAGTATAAGGCTAGTCTTGGCTACAGTACAAAACTCGGTCTCAATTTAAAAAAAAACAAGGCCAAGAATAAAGAGACATGACAATTTAATGCAATTGGTACTTGTATCTTAAATAGAAAAAATTTTAAAAAATTGTAAAATCCATGTAAAAGGTCAAGTTTAGTTAGTAATATACTAATGTAATCTTTTTGGTTTTAACAAATGAGTCATGATGTGGGGAAAACTGGATCAAAGATACACAGAATTTCTATATATTACCTTAGCAAGTTTCTGAAAATACAAAATCAATTGCAGTTAATTTTTTAAAAAGATAACTATATCCACTAGAATGACTAGAATGAAAAGGCTAAGAATATAGTGCAATTAGAATACTCATTAACTCTAGGCAAATTCTTTGAATTGATCTAATTATTTAAAAAAACGAGTGGCAGTATATACTCAAATACATGTATCTCCACAATCTAGCAATTTCATCCCATTATACATACATAACTAAAGTGTGTAGGTCAGGTACTAGAATGTTTTTTGTTTTTGTTTTCTGAAACAGGGTTTCCCTGTATTGCTTTGGAGCTTGTCCTGGAGCTCGCTCTGTAGACCAGGCTGGCTTCGAACTCACAGAGGTCCACCTGCCTCTGCCTCTGCCTCCCGAGTACTGGGATTAAAGGTGTGCACCACCGATGCCGGGCCAGGTACTAGAATTTTATTTTTTTTAATTTCCAACATATAAACATTTTTATTTATTTGTTTGTTTGTTTATTTATTTATTTAGTATGTATATAGCATATGTCTGTAAGGCTGCAGGTCAGAAGAGGGCACCAGATCTCATTACAGATAGTTGTGAGCCACCATGTGGTTGCTGGGAATTGAACTCAGGACCTCTAGATGAGCAGGTAGTGCTCTTATCCTCTGAGCCATCTCTCCAGCCCGGTACTAGAATTTTATAACAAGATTTTTCATAAAAGTCTAACCTGAAAACTATCCAATATTAATTAACACAACTGATCAAAAAACTGTAACGCAATCACACACTAGATTATATACATAAAAATGGTCTATAACGTTAAGCTACAACATAGATGAACCTAATAAACATAATATTCAACAAAAGAAATCTAGATAAAGAGTATGTGCTACATGAAGAGTTGAGATTAATAACTGGCCTTGGAAGGACTAGTGATTAGAGCTTTTCTGAATAACAGTAAAACTCTATTTTAATCTGAGTCTTGGTTACAAAGTTGTATTTGGTTTAACTTAAGGTGAATAATTAAGAGCTGTATTTTTTCTTAGAAATATTTCAATTAAGTTTTTAAAGTGAAGCTGTTATTTAATATTGTTTCACATTTTAAACAATGTGGTTATGAATAACTTAATATAAAGGGTTTTTAAGCTATATAGTCATACTCGCTGGTTAGTTGCCAACTTGACGCAAGCTAGAGTGATCTAGAAAGAGGGAACCTCAATCAAGAAAATGCCTCCATAAGACTGGACTATAGGCAAGTCTGTGCATCAATTTCTTGATTAATATGAGAAGTTCAGTCCACTGGGAGAATGCCACCCTGGGCAGGAGGGCCTGCCTGAATTGTATAAGAAAAGATGAGTGTTGATGAGGGATTAAGGGAGGGAGTGAGGGAGGGAGAGGGAACTGGGATTGACATGTAAAACAAAATTGTTTCTAATTTAAATTTAAAAAATCATAAAAAAAGAGAAAAGGAGATGAGCAAGCAATGGCAATCAAGCCAGTGATCAGCGTTCCTCCTTGGCTTCTGCTTTAGTTCCTGCCTTGAGTTACTGCCCTGACTTTCCACCATAACAGACTTTGTCATAACAAAACTAGAACTACAGTTGACTAATTCTCACAAGTTGCATAATATCTTTGTGTATTTATCAGGTTGGGACTGAATTTTTTTTCTTTCTTGCTGGAATGGTCAACAAGAACCCACATCATAAAGAACATGAAATATATTTGAGGCCAAATCCATCTCTGTGCCTTATTTAAAAGTGAAAGAACTGACCCTATAATGAACAAATACTTCTTCCCATTTATTTCAAGGAAACGAAGAAAATAAGACAAAAAATTTCAATTTAAAAGAGTGGAAACAGGTTCATATACTTTTCACCTCAACTTGCAAAAGTGTCCTTGTAAAGACCAGTCATCAATGACAGACTCTGATATCCCCCAAGGAGAGCCTCACCCTCCCTGGGGAATGGAGTGGGGACTGGACACGGGGGGGGGGGGGGGACTAGGGGAGGGAGAAGGTGCTGGGATTAGCATGTGAAGCAAGTTTGTTTCTAATTTAAATTATATCAGTCTTCAACACTGGGATAGGAATGACTCATTCTCTTAAGTTATAAACCTGGGTAACAAATCTATTTAGCTGTGTATCTGACTGAGTAGAGGAAAAGAAACATAAGAATTGAACAGCAAATAAAAGATGGGTTATCAGATAAAATTCTGTACTTAGTGTGACAAGGTTGTATGAGTTCCCTGCTGATTAAATAAATATGTGAGCTGGGTATGGTGGCACATGCTTTTAATCCCAGCACTTCAGAGACAGAGGCAGAGGCAGGAGAATCTCACTAAATTCAAGGCCAGCCCAGTTTACATAGCAAGTCAAGGATAGCAAAGACTACATAGCAAAGACCCTGTCTCATAAAACCAAAAGAAGTAAACGTATAGAAGGAAGCTAAACTTGAGTCATCTTGCTTATGACAATTACTCCAAGATGATTGCTAACTTTGAAAAGCAGAAAAATGATGTACAACAAATAGCAATTTGGGTGGTAACTACAGCAGTCCAGTAAAGCATCACATCACATTCAAGACTTTGCATTGGTAAATGACAAGTCAGTTATGCAATCTGCCCAAGATGCCATTAAGTTTAGACAAATAAAAAAAAATGATTTAAAAAATGAAACCATTTCATGCTGATACCACAAAAAAAAATGGTCTTAGCAAAAACAGGGGGTATATGTGTACGAATCTATGGCATATTAATACCAAAACATTTTTATTAAAAAATTACCGTTACCTTGGAAATATATCAACCAACCTTTACGAATGCTGTAGATAAAATTTTTTTTGCTGATGTCCGCAGACAATCTCTGTTATCTTTGGTTTTGCCACTCTCCATTGATGAGGAAATCCGAGATATATTTTGTGAAGGAGTTGTTTTAGAATCAAATTTCTGACAAGTGGTTTCAGCTGATTCCAGTAAAGATGTCTGTATTTTCTACATTGAACAAAAATTATTAAAACCATATTAGTTTTTTTAAAAATAATTTCTCAGTATAAAGCCCATGTTTGCCTCAACTCCAAAAATTTTCAGGTTCATTCACCTTTTAAAGGAGGAAAAATACCAACAGGGAAATTTTCAGAAAAGCAAAACCTGAAAGAAATGGGCATTTGCTCCATTTTTGAGAGTAAATATGTTACAAATTTACTCAACTCAATGATTTTCTCAACTCTGTCTTTGATTCAGCTTCCTTTAGCAATTCACATGGTAAATTGCTAGTAATTTCCTTCCACATACCTTACACATATAACCTAGTAAATGATACAAATTTCCTAGTAAAATACACACACACTCAGGAAAAAGAGAGAAACGGAGAGAGGGAGAGACTGTGTTTGTGCGTGTACTGGGATCAAACTTAGAGCCTTACACATGCTAGGAAGTCCCCTATGACTGAGTACATCCTAAGTCCTCAAAGGTAGAAATAATTACTCTAGTAGAATATTATATGAATTCCAAATACACCATATTCTATTTTATCTCTTTGGTTACCATCATCTCCATTAATACAATTATAAAAATATTCAACTGGCAGAATGAAATACACACAGATATGTATATGTGCACACACACAGGACTAAAGTACAATATTTCAAAGGTTGGGTATTTAAACTTAGAGAATTAGTTTAAACTAGGGTGTATAAGGTTAATGATTAAAAAGTGATGCCAAGAGTTTGCTCAGTGATTAAGAGCACTGGATGTTCTTCTTCTAGAGTATCCCTGTTACATTCCCAGCACCTGCATGGTAGCTCACAACTAATGATGCCCTCTTCTGGCCTCCTTGGGAACTATAAGCACATAGTGTGCAGACATGAAATGAATGACAGCAAAACACCCATACACATAAAATAAAAAATAAAGGTGGGGCATACAAATCTGAGTAGCCTGTGCTGCTACCCAGTGCCATGGTGATGACTGGGCCAGAGCTACAGGAGAAATTCAAGTCTCGTTCTGTAGCACTACTGCAGCCAGGGTCTGTGTTTAGGCCTGAGGCTCCTGTTACCATCAAAATCCAGGGTCTGGGCCTCCACCTGGGGCCACAGTGTCCAGGGCCACACTGCACACTGCTGCTGGGGCCATGCCCTTTTGAGTAGCCTGCACTGACACCTGGGGCAATGGTGACTTCCAGACCTGGCTGTTGCCAAGGACCATGCCTGGGTCTGGGTCCTACCACAGCCAGGGTCTGTGTTGAAGTCCTAGGCTTTTGTCGCCACTAAAGATCACACAGAATCCCAGAGTCTGGACCACAACCTGTGGCCTTGGTCTCTGGGGGCTATGCTGCCACCAGAGCCATCCTGATCTAAGTGGTTTGTGCTGCCACCCAGAGGCATGATGTCATCTGGGCCTGAGCTGCTCCTGAGGGCCATATCTGAGTCTGTGGTCCTGCTGCAGCTGGGGTCTATGTTTGATGTCTATGGCTCATGTTACCACAGGGGGCCATAGGAACCATGCATGATGAAATTAGAGGGTCATGCTGAGCTGGCCTCACCCTTCAATGGCCCTGGGAAAGCTGGCCTTGACCTTCACTGTAGCAAGAAAGCTGACCTCCACATTCAGGAGAGATGGCCACAACCTTCACAACAGGCAACAGACAACTAGTCCTGATGGTAGCACAGAAGAGCTGGCTCTGTCTGTTGCCTGAGGGGGCGACCCCAGTGGACTGGACTGACCAGCTCAGCTACCACCCAAACTCAATAGTTGAGCCTTGGGTTAGACTAACATAAGGATCTCCATGACTCAGGGTGGCCACAGTATATCCAAGAGGACTCAGTGATGATGGTGTACCAGAGACCAGAGACCTTGAACCAGACCAATGACTCACTGCAATGAACATTTCCAAGTAAAGCTAATTGTAAAAAGAGTATACTGTATGACACACTGAAGCTTCCAATGCCACTAGGAAGTGGTAATAAAGAGGCAGGAGCCGGGCGTTGGTGGCGCACACCTTTAATCCCAGCACTCGGGAGGCAGAGGCAGGCGGACCTCTGTGAGTTCGAGGCCAGACTGGACCAACAGCCTCCAAAACAATACAGCGAAACCCTGTCTCGAAAAACCAAAAATAAATAAATAAAATAAAAATTAAAATTTAAGTGACTATAGGTAGTATTAAAAAATTTAAGTAGGAACATATAATATTCTCTTCTCTGGGTATATTATTATCTTACCAGGTAATTACAAACACATATCCTGGCTTAAATTTGCCTATCTAGAAAAATGAGCCACTAATGAAAATGATTCAGTTATTGCCTTACACTAATGATCTATCACTTCATAATCATTTTTCCAGCAAGTGGGAATTTTCATTTTTCTGGACTTTTTTTGAGAACTGATCTGGTGGTGGGCCTAAAAAGGCTTGGATGTGAGGCCCAGTGTAACCTCCTGAGCCTGGCTAGAGTTTGACGACCTATCTGTGGCCTGTAACCTCCACGTGGGGGTGACTGAGCAAGGCCTGATGTAAGACTGCCCCCTGCCTAGCTACCTGCCAACTTGGTGGAATTTTTTTTTTTTTTTTTTTTTTTGGTTTTTCGAGACAGAGTTTCTCTGTATTGTTTTTGAGGCTGTCGGTCCAGCCCGGCCTCGAACTCACAGAGATCCGCCTGCCTCTGCCTCCCGAGTGCTGGGATTAAAGGCGTGCGCCACCACCGCCCGGCGCTTGGTGGAATATTATTGGCCTTTACTCCTCACGTCACCTTAACCCATCCTCAGATTCCCATCCCCTACCTCAGCCCTATATAAGTTTCTGCCTGTTAGAATAAATCGAGATCCTGCTTCAACAAGTCTCCCAACTCAGTATTTATTTTTCCCGGTAACTAGGGCTGGACCGGCCCTTCCCCAGCTCTACCTGCCTGAGAACCCAGTACTGGGACACCTTATATATTTCAAGTTGTCTTTGAACCTGCCAATCTTAGCCCCCAAAATGCAGAAGTAAAGGCCTGGTACTTTTATTTTTTCAATTGCATTTCTGTTTCTTTTTCATATATGTTTCTGTACCATAACTGAAAGTTCATATTTTTTCTGCTCTCTGGATTGACTTCATCAAAGGGCATACTTGGAATCTCCAGACTGTAGCTTTTCCAGGATAGATTTTCCCAGACTAGATCTCAGACTGGAGATTTAAAGTCACTGTTCCACCACCTTGTGGCCATGTTAGGGAAATGCCATTTATCTGACTGCCTAAAAGAAAAGACAGCCCTGGCTTTCCCACAAGTATCGCTTGGAAAATACATCTTTCTTCACAGTAATGGAAATAATCACAGAAATATGTATTTCCATAAACACCATAATTTTCTGAATATTGTATTTCAAATGATACAGAACACACATTGAATCTCTCTGTTGTATTTACCTTATGTCATTTACTCTATGCCAAAAATTATTTTAAATAGTTTATAAATACCATCTCACTTAATCCTCCTAACAAATTGAAGATGTAGATAAAATAATCTCTTTAGAAATGAGAAAGACAAGGTATGAAGAACTTAAGTAACTTACACGAAATCAGAAACATTTGATCAACTGAATGATTACATCAGATCTATGATATACTAGCATGGTTTTAAAAAGTATAATTCTCAAAGGCCTAGTTACATTTCTTGAATTCTTTTTTTAGGTTGGGCAGCATACATAACATGCAGACTCCCCAGATAAAAGATATAGCACTTAATAATCTATCTGATAACAGATATAATTGTGTATATTATAGAGTTAAACATGAATCAGCATATCTCTACGAAAACAATATATAATTTAATTATATGAATGTTCCATATTTACAAAAGAATATCAGTGATTAAATATGTTTTCATCTTTATCAGATAGTGCACTGACTACAACTTTGTTGGATAATTTTATTATGATGATAATTTCTCAAATGATAATCTTTTCAAGTGTCTGATGCAGTCTGGGAAAATAAAACATCAAGTATTCTAAACAGATTCAAAACTTCCTTTTTCTCTTTTTTTAACTCCAAGGACACAAAGCTATTCCAAGACTAATCTGTTTCTCACTTCAATGTGACTATAACAATAGTAATGTCTGTTGTAAGGCATCATCATTATTTTAAAAAAATAAGAGTTTAATCCCAAAACTGGTAAATTAGAGGCTCTGGATTAACTCTTCTTCTCTTCAATGGAACTTGCTTCCATTGTAGGGAGCTCTACTAACATAACATTTTTATTACTATTATTGTTATTTTATTATTTTTGTGTTTATATCGAGATGGCTCAGCAAATAACCTACCAACTTTCATTCAATCCAAAGGACACACATGATAGAAGAACCAGCTCCCATAAATTATCCTCTGACCTCCACATAGGCACTACAGCAAGCACACCCACAAGCGCGCACACACACATACGCATACTAAGTGGATAAATGCAATTAAAAGTTTTTAAATAATTATACTGAAGCTATCTCCAAGTCTCCAAAACAAAACAAAATGACAAATCTTTTAAAATTTTAGCTAATGCCTTTAAATTAATATAGCAAGAAATAATTTTGGAAATGAAATTGTGTGGCATTGAGTTATTTTCCTTCTTAAAAGTAACAAGAATTATTTCTAAATAAAAGTTTGAAACATGAGTTGGTGCTGATTTATACCCCAGGGGCAGAACATTTGCCAAATACACGCAAGGCCCTAGGTCCAACATCCTGGACTGAAAATAAACTGTTTATAATGAAAACAGAATGACATAAAACTCTTACCTTGTCTTTTTTATCTTTGAGAATAGCTGTGTTTTCTTTTTCAAGTTTTAGTTTTTCCTGTTAAAAATAGCAATATATATATACATATATATAAAACGAAGAATACTATTAATACAAAATAAACTTGTCAAAATATTTTCTAATAACTATTGAAGAATAAAATTCATTTCTATAGAGTCATTATTTGGCTTTATCTTTTGATCCTATTCCCTTTCTCTTGCATATCTGTGGAATCATTAATGAGTTTAAGTTCTGAATCTCAACTCTTACATGTAAAATGAAGTAGATGAGCAAAACTACAGAGTAAGGGATACATACAAATAACTAAACAACAAAGAGTTGCAAAGAAATCCAAATCATAGTCTGTCATGAGAGATACAATCTTTTCCCTCAGATGTTAACAAAGTATATCTCAATGGTACTTTGAATAATGAATTAACTTTTAACATGAAATAAATATGATGTATAAAATAATATTCTGAGCAGCAAAAAGTCATATTAACATACAAACTTAACAAAAAATATATATCTTTGGATAAATAGGGTGTGTGTACAGAATAGAAACAGCCAAGAAAAAATGGAGACTATGATAAAAGTGTAACAAGCTAGACTATAGGGTTTATTCGGTAGTTGAAATAGAAAACCTAAGCCTTGCTTACAGAAATGAGAATGTATTGTGCTTCTGGCTAGTTTTATGTTAACAGGACATAACTAGAGTCCTTTTGGAAGAGGAAACCTCAACTGAGAAAATGCCCCCACCAGGCTGGCCTGTAGGCAAGCCTATGGTACATGTTCTTAATTGAAAATGTGGAAAGGCTCAGCCCATTGTGAGTGGTGCCAGCCTGGGCTGGTGGTCCTGGGGGTACATAAGAAAACAGTGTGACCAAAGCCATGGGGAACAAGCCAGTAAGCAGCACTCTGCTACAGCCTCTAAATCAGTTCTCATCTTCAGACTCCTCCTCTGCTTGAGCTCCTGTGCACAGGGGACCATAAATCTGAACTATAATCAATCTTTAAATTCTAATTATACAATCTGAATAAACTGCCATACTCTGTTTTAGTTCTGGTCACAGAATAAGAAAAGATGAAAATCTTGAAACTCTCTGTCCATATCAAGACAATAAAAAAAAATTAGAAGTTCTAAGTAAGAAGACAAACTAGAGATAGTCTCTGTGTGAACTGGTGAAGGAGAGAGAAATCTCACTTTTTCACCTACATGATTCATACAGCAGTGGCCAGATCTGATCTTGAAAAAGTCTACTATTAAAACCTAGCTACTCCAAGGACCTAAAATCAGGGAATAACCACAGATCAGGAAACCTCAATTACAGGATCCAGGTAAGAGAGGGACCAAAGTGACTGTTGTGGAGAGCAAGAAACCCACACACTGACAAGTCAAAGGATACAAGTGACAGGAGGCTCAGCTCAGGCTGGAAGTGAATAGAGATAGCCCCAATATTCCAGGTGGTGAAAGATCTTAAGTTTGATTATTCTACACCAGCAGATGGATTGAACTCTGGAGTCACCAATCTGCTATTCACTACTAAAGAGATTGAGAACACTGATGTACCAGGAGTGATACGAGATGTCATTCTGTAAATCTGTCTCACTTATTGGCTGAATAAAGCACTGTTGGCCAATAGGGAAGAAAGATAGGTGGGACTAGGAGTCCAGGAGGATTCTGGGAAATGTAGTGAAAAGACTGGTCGCCTCAACGGGCACTTAGGAGTGCATCCTCAAAAAAGATAAGTCCTTATAAAATATATATTAGTAATTATGGGTTAACAGTCAAGTCAGAGCTAGCCGATAAGAAACCAAGCAAACAGTCAACAGCTTCATAATTAATATAGTGTCTTGTGTGGTATTTGGGGGCTCAAACAGCTCAGCAAGGCCAGGTGAGAGGCAGGAAGACTAAACGTTACACCAAGAGTGTACAGAATACTGAGTTGCATCTTTCAAGTCCTTCACCTGCACAAATCTCAAGGCTGTAGCTGTTTCCCACCTATCCCAATCACATAAGAAATACCTGTCATCAAAAACATTAACCACTGTAAGGACTTTGATCTGAGGAGTCTTAGAAGGTTGAAAGAACCTGGCTGGACCACAGATTACAAAATTAAATGTGACCCACAGAGGCACCTCATAAACTAAGAAGAAAAACTAACAAAGTGAAGATAACTTTGATGAACTTCAGACTTGTCCAATATCCACTTGCCAACAGTCCAATTCAAGATCACTACATCCAGCAAAACTACCTTTTAAAACTGATATATAAGCCAGATGGTGGTGGTACACGTCTTAAATCCCAGCCTTCAGGAGGCAGAAGCAGGTAGATCTCAGTGAGTTCAAGACCAGCCTGGTCTACACAGCAAGTTTCAGGACAGCCAGAGCTACACAGAGAAAAACCCTGTCTCAAAAACAAACAGCCCCCCACACACACAACCTGACATATAAAGTATGTATCAAGACAAGCACAATAATTCAATTCATGACCACTGTACTAAAGTAGATCAAGAAACACAATACACATGGGGAAAAGAAAGACTTTCTCAATCAAGAAAGCACAGGCAAAAGTAAACTATATGAGAGGAAAAGATGAGCAAAGGAGAGCTAGGAAGGAATCTACCAAGCCCATCACAGTAAACCAGTAAACAATAATACTATAGAAAAAAAGAAAAGAACAAAAATCCAACCAACCAAAAAAACAAGTAAATCACTGGAATAATAAAAGAAAAAAAGACTCTCAGAATTTACTTTAAATGTGAATAGCTTCAATACACCAATAAAAAAATACAGATTTGCGGATTAGATCTAAAAAACTAGATACAAGTATGTATTGTCTCCAAGACACCTAGGAGTCAAAGTTTGAAAAACAATATACCAAATAAACAGAAACCAAAAGCTAACTGGTATAGCTATTTTGATACCTAGAGTAAAGTATATGTCAAACAAAAATTAGTCAATGTCAGGGACCTCTGGCCATCAACCAGGCACGGCTGCCTCACGTACTCATAAGAAAAGACCCTCGCCGGGCGTTGGTGGCGCACGCCTTTAATCCCAGCACTCGGGAGGCAGAGACAGGTGGATCTTTGTGAGTTCGAGACCAGCCTGGTCTATAAGAGCTAGCTCCAGGACAGCCTCCAAAGCCACAGAGAAACCCTGTCTCGAAAAACCAAAAAAAAAAAAAAAAGAAAGAAAAGACCCTCATAGAAAGTACGTGACTCGGAACCACCCTGCTACCTGCCAAATTCCAGAAACAGACCTGTGGCTTATCTAGGGCATAGGTTTAAACAATAGAAAGTAGAGTGTGAAAGATAAAGTCAGAATCTGCAGTTAGGTTACCAGAGGACACAGGATGACCTACCCATCCCACTGACCTTCCGCTATGCCATGTTCATCGCAGCTACAGCACACCCCCACCCCATTCCTTCCCCTCCTCCCTTCCCCTATATAAATCCCTTTGGGATGAATAAAGTTGTCGTCTTGATCAGACTCTTGTCTTGGCATCGTCCTTGTGTCCCCTGCCCCCCATCTTTTTCTTAGGTGTCCACCAGACCCACGTGTCCTGCGGGTCGGGACAAGTCAACAAAGATGAAGGCTATTATATATTAATAAAAGGAACAAATCACCAAAATTACATAGCACTGTAATTATATAACCACCAAACACTAAGATATCCAATTTCAAAAATCAAACAAACAAAACCATGAAAGATCAACAAATCTTGACACAACAAGAGTTATTTCAATATTTAACTTTCTCCACTACATGGGCCATCCAAAGTAAAAATCAGGATTTTCAGAGTTAAACTACACACAAACAGACTTAGTTAGTAAAAAAAAAAAATATTCCAACCAACAAATACAGAACATGCATTCCAAAGGAGCCAACTGAATCTTCTCAAAATGGATCACAAATCAACTTTTTCAAAAAATAAAAACAGAAATGACTTTTTGTATCCCATCATGAAAACACATAAAACTAGAAATTGTCATAGCAAGAAAAACTACATAAATACATGGAGACTGACCTCTACACGCTAGAAAAAAACAGTGGGACATTAATGAAATTAGAGGAAATGGTTAGAGCAAATATGTCTAGCAGATAGTAAATAATATTGTGTGCTTACGACTTTAGTAAGGTGAGATTTTATTTGTGTTTATTAAAGAGGAAAAATGGATTCAATCCCCAGCATCTCAAAACAAAATAAACATAAAACTTTACGTTCAGAGTTTAATCAAGCAAACAAAAAGTAAAGACACAAAGATTTTTCTATTGAAACTTATAGGATAAAGTTAAGTATCAATGTTGTTACTATAGGTGAAATGAAATCAGTTTACTTATCCATTTAATATTTATTAGAAATATACAAATTTCAAAAAAAAACAGAGATAAGACATAATCCTAGCCTTGAAAACTTGTGAAATAATAGAAAGTGTGCGTGCCTGAGAATACTTAAATATAATAAAACTGTGAAATTTTCCACAGAATGAAAAAGATAGAAGACTTAAGTATAAAACAAAGTTAACAAACTCACTGAGACTTCAAATTGAAACTCTTTTTACCAAACTGTTGCAGAGTTAATAGAACAGATTTTGAAATCATGCAAAATATAAACAGATTTGAATTCTAGGCTATTCTAGTTTCTTATGTAATCTTGAATAAATAACCTAACCATTACAAAAAAGAAGACAGTAAATATTGCACATTAGTAATTATTAAGCTAGCCGGGTGTTGGTGGTGCATGCCTTTAATCCCAGCACTCAGGAGGCAGACACAGAGAGGCAGGCGAATCTCTGTGAGTTGGAGGCCAGTCTAGTCTATTGAGCAAGTGCCAGGATAGGCTCCAAAGCTACACAGAGAGAAACCCTGTCTTGAAAAAAATATATTATTGTTAAGCTAGATATTAATGCTCAGCAGAGTATCTGCCACACAAAAAGTTTAAAAAGGGTATTTGGTACTTTTAAGTGTGAGTCAGCACCTTACAAACCACAAAATATCGTAAGGATGTAAGGCATTTTTCAATTAACTATAAATAGCTTTTAAAAACTCATATTAAACATACAAGCATTTACTATGAAATAGTATTTCCTTTTATACGTTTCCAGTCTCTTTTTTTAATTAACTCACTCTTTTTCATTTATTTTTTATCACAACCAAAGTTTCCCCTCCCTTCTCTCTCCTCCCATTCCCCCAATCTCCCTCCCACCCCCCCACCCTACCCCATCCCTGCTCCTTGACCATCCATTCCTCCTCTGTTTCTGTTCTGAAAGGGGCAGGCTTCCCATGTGTGTCAGCAAAGCATGACATATCAAGTTGAGGTAGGACTAAGCTCCTTCCTTGGTATTAAGGCTGCACAAGGCAACCCAGTATGAGAGATAGGTTCCCAAAAGCCAGCCAAAGCATTAGGGACAAGCCCTGATCCCACTGCTAGGAGTCACAAATAGACCAAGCTACACAACTGTCACACATATGGAAAGTTCCATAACCAAGCACTGGACCGAGCACCAGGAATCCTGATGAAGAGAGGGAGGGGTCAAGGTTATCATAAGCAAACCACAGAAACAACTAACCTGGGCTCATAGGTTCTCACAGACTCTGGAATGACAGCCAGGAAGCCTGAATGGGACACACCTAGACCCTCTACATATAGTATTTCCTTTTATCTTTACTTATGGGTACATATCCAAATTAGATATATTCAGTAGAGTTCAAGTGCTCACAGAGACTATAAGCATTGAATTTCCCTCTAGAGCACAGTTATAAACAAATGTGAGCTACCTCAGTGGGTGTGGGAACTGAACTTAGATACTCTGCAAGTAATTGCATGCTCTTAACTTGACAATCATATCTTCAACCCTCAAGGTAATATTTCTCAAACAAATACAGCATATTTCAAAGCATTTCTATTCTTGAAAGTACGTATATACTTGTTAAATGGAATGTGTTAAATGCTTGCAGGGAAAAAATAGAGGACAGCAGTGTTTTCTTACTATTAATTACCCAAATTTGTCAAATTATTGTATAATATGACATTTATAAAATACAATGAACGTGATGCAAAAATCCTACAATAATCTTACATATAATGGCACAAAACCTACTTTTTCTTCTCTTTCTATTTCAAGTTGCTTCTTAAGGGATACAAGTTCGTTTCTGATATTTGATAGTTCAGTCTCCTAAAGAAAAAGAAAGATGCATATTTCTCAATCAATGAAACTATAACCTACTGCTTCAAATAAATCTGCTCTAGAAAAAAATTAACTCAGAAAGTGTCATTTTAAAAATCATATATGTATACACACGGACTTTGGACTCCCATAGAACAATGTGAGGTGCACTCTCACCCTGAACTCTTAGGGAAGGGTCTAGGCCCTGCCATATATGAAATGACAGACTATGGACACGCCCATGGAGGGCCTCACCCTCCCTGGGGGAATGAGGGGATAACGGGGGGGGGTTGGGGGGAGAGCACGGGAGGAAGGGAGGGAATGGGAGAGGGACCTGGAACTGACTTGTGAAGCAACCTCGTTTCTTATCTAAATTTAAACTGGAAAATAAAATATTAAAAAAATAAAATAAAAAAAAATAAAAATGAAAAAAAAATCATATATGTAGCTGGGCAGTGGTGGCACATGCCTTTAACACCAGCACTCTGTGAGCTCAAGGTCATCCTGGTCTACAAACTTGAGTTCCAGGACAGCCAAGGCTACACAGAGAAACCCTGTCTCGAAAAAAAAAAAAAATCATACATGTATGCATACAACAAATGCATACATACACATACTAATATTTTCTTATTCCACCCCACTCTTCCTATTCAAACACCAAAGCTTTAAATTTAGTTTAACTGACTTTTTAGCACTTCTGTTAAAAAAAAAAACACCTTATACTACAACATATAATAAATTAGAAAAGCATTCTACCAGAAAATACGTAAAATCCTTTTTGATCTCAAAGTGTGATTCTATAGATTAAATATCATGGTTCTACTTAGTATTATCCTTTTTCCTAAATGCTGGTATTTTAAGAGTTGGCTTTTATTGATATTTGTCCTGTCTTACCAAAGCAGTCTTCACAGATAACTGTTCTTGTTCTCGATTTTTACAAAGTCCTAATTCTGAGTCTCTTTCTTCAACAATCTTATCATATTGGTGCTGTATCAAACAAAGAAGGCATTTTAGGTACATTAAAATGGATGATGTTTTAAAAGATTGATACACTAAGTATTAAATATTTGAAGAAAATGATCATGATAAATTTGAGTGAATATGTATTTTCATTTTTCATATACATGTTCTAAAAACCTAAACAGTGAAACATAGACAAGTTTTGGTCATAGTTCAACACAAAAAAGAAAAGTAGTTATTTTAATTGGAAACATTAAATTTCATAATTTAAGAAGTATAGCTGAGTTGGGTAACCTCCCTATATCCATAAACCTACCAATCAGGAGGCTGGGGCTTGAATATAACAAGTTCAAAGCCAACCTGAACTACAAAGTGAAAAATCTTGTTCAATATAACACCAAGATGTCTTAGAAAAGTCACTGACTCCAAAACTAAGACAGGAAACACAATACAAGCATTGAAAATGTTTGTCATGACAAAAAAAAAAGGTATCAGAGACGATTCAATTCACGTCAAAAGGATTTGCCTATCAGTTTGAAAAGGCTTTCCCAAGACAAAGGCAAAACAACTTTTCAATATGGATATAAACTGCACTAGATTGAAGCATTCTGAATTTAAATGAGTTCATAATATTACTTAAATTCTGCATTAAATTTCTTACTGATAAATTACTTCATAGTAATGGTAGATTTCTGGTTCCAATTTTTTAAAAGCAATAGGTAAAGACAACCTACTTCTCTCCAAATATGAAGGAAAATGAAGCTTTGGAGAATTACTCAAACAACAGAAAAATAAAAAGTACTCACAACAAATATTAAGTCTTTCCCCAAGCTGAAAAGATAGATCAGCCATTAAAGGGTAAGCTCACAAGCAAAAATATAAATCTTTCATCTATTTATTCCTTTGTTAAGAACTTATCATGATATACATAAGAGACATATAAGAGAGTATGAATATTAGTGAGAAATATCCTGGGTATTTGGTAAGTGCTATTAGACTGCTAGAAGAATTCAGAAACCATGATTCCTTCCTTTTACTACAAATGATAAGATATTCACTGGAGGAAGTGACACCTCAGCTCAGCTTTGAATGGTTAAGATCTGAACTTAGAGAAACAGGGGACCAACAATAGTCAAACTATAATTAGTTATTGTTGTATAGAAAATAACTTCTTTAATAAATCAAAAGACTACCTTGAGTTCATCATTTTAACAGAAATATGCTCTAAGAAATCATTTTTAAAGGAGAAAGTTTACTGGGCTTTACAATTACAGATAATCTATTCCATCATAGCTGGGAACATAAGAGGCAGGCAAGCATGATGCTAGATCAGTATCTTAGAGCTTACATCCCTATTTGAAGTCTAAGTAATAATTTTATTACATTGTTACCTTATGTTTTTCCATAAGTGCTACCATTTCAGCAATTTTATGTTGGCATCGTAAATCAATTTCTTTCTGTAATTTTACTGCTTCATCAACCATTGCTTTTGCTTTCTCAACCTATCAAATAAAAAAGTATGTCTTTATTTATTGGTGCTGGACCTTATACAAATTTAAAAAATTCAACTTTCCTTTAAGAAGTTTATATGGTGGGGGAGCTTGGATTGACATGTGAAGCGAGTTTGTTTCTAATTTAAATAAAAAATATTTTAAAAAGAAGCATATGTTCCACTTACATAAATTTAAACAACAGAAAATTAGAAAAAAACAAGTAAAATGCATCACTTAGTATGTTTCAAAAAGTAAAATGACTATAAATACTTCAATGACTTTGTTTGTTTTTGAGACAAAGTTTCTGTGTAGCTCTGGCTATCCTGGATCTCGCTCTGTAGACCAGAGTGGCCTTAAACTCAGAGACCCACCTACCTCTCCCTTCGGAGTGCTGGGGTTAAAGGCATGCACCAATAACACTCAGCAAAAGTACTTTTGTTTTGTTTTGTTTTATTAGAGCTAATAAGCAAACATTTTTAGCATAGTAAGTTCTTAACATTTAAGTTTTTCTACCTCTCCCAAAAGCTTTTCCTCTGATATTTTTTTGACCTCAATTTCTTTCTGATAGTTGTCAGTCATTTCTTGAAATTTTTGTTTGGCACTTTCTAATTCCAACTGTAATTTGTTGACCTATAAGTAAAAACAGTAACATTTATTTTAATAAGTTCCTTAGATTACTGAAAAATATTCCATACTAATTTGTAGTTTTGTAAACCCTTAAAGATTCATGGAAATTATGGCTGAATCATTTTCTTAGATTTTTCATATACTGAGTAAGATGTGTTTCATCTTGACTCTTAAAATATATATTTGGTCTTGCCAAGCAATATAATATACACAGTCACATTTTTTGTTTCAAAACATTTTACTTAAAAATTACAAGTAATGTTCCATAAAAAATATGTACAAGCTTCCACTGATACGTTTTAGCAAATTCTTTCAGCTTGAATTAAAGTTGTAGATGCTGAATTAACTTTGAGTAGCTTTCAGCCTTTCCTTCAAAATGAAGTATGTAAAACATACTATGTACATGAACTTACTACTAAGGGACATGAATAAAAGGGTCTACCAGGTCCCATGAGGTGAAAAGGATCAGGTGCAGGAAGCAAGGCTAATAAATTCACTGTAGCTAACCCACCCAGAAAGGATCTTCTATGCCATAATGCATTACTTTGAAAGAGTCTTAGAGTTTGCAGAGTAATCCTGGCAGTGTCCAGAGGTTCCTTACACATGAATCTAAATCAACACATTCCATTTGGTTAATAGCAGCTAAGGTACAACTTCTTTTAATGAAATAAAAGCAGAAAAAACACCTATGAAAATCAGATCTTTCACCATTGGCAGAACTCAAGTTGTCTTAGGACGGCTCTTTGGTATCTGTTATGAGTATATATCCAATCAAAGATTCCTTTCCACCCCACAAGCACATCCACCAGCACATGTGGTTTATTGTAGCCAAAGGAGGTGGGAGCTTTTCTTAAGGGTGTGGATTCTTCCCCTGCATTCTTTGTTTCTAGGTTATTATACATACTTAATTTTTTAATGAGTTCCCCTCCCCTTTCTTTTCTTCCTCTGTTTTTTACATAATGTCTGTGTAGTTTTGGCTATCCTAGAAACTTGCTATATAGATCACTCTGTCCTTTACTCACAGAGATACACCTGCCTCTGTCTGCCTACTGAGTGTTGGGAATAAAGGGATATCACACCAAGCCCCATCTTTAAAAAATTTCTTAATACTTAAGTTGGTAAGTTTTAATTCTTTTTTATGATAATCAGTAACTCTTACACTGAAACCCCATGTATTCAAACAAAACAACATATTCTATGTTTTCTATAAAGAATCCTTTTTTGTTTTCTCATGTCTTACATATTATATAGCTATGCCTCAAATATAGTAATATCAAAAAGACAAAGAATCCTGAGTTAACACCTACAGTCCAGATTCACTTTACCTGAGAGTTACATTTTAACTAAGGAAATGTGTCACAGCAGAAGACAAGAATTCCATCAGGAAGGCATAGGTAAGAGTATACCAGAATGCATTCAATAGCCATAAATCAACTATCAACTTTAAGGTACAGATATTACCAATATCAATAATGACTTCTGTTCATCTTCTTTGGTTTCCCCTTCAGCCTCCTCAAAGTATTACAAAATATTCTTAATATTTATAAGTAAGATTGTTTTAGTGTTTTTAAACCTCCAGATTGTTTTAGTGCTTTTTAAACCTCTTATTATACTTATCTATTTATATAGAGGGGTCAAAAGTATGCCATCACATGCATGTGAAGGTCAGAGGACAACTTTCAGGAGTCAGTTTTCTCTTTGTACCAAGTAGACCCAAGGATCTAACTCTGGTTGTCAGGTTTAGAGCAGTAGCCTCTAGCTACTAGGTCATTTTGCCAGCTCAGTAAATATTATTTAATACTTTTTTTCTAGCTCTGTTTTATATGTTTCCTCAAATGCTGTTTGTTTTTTAACCAATATTTTCATGGTACATGTGTCTTTCTCTTGGTTGTTTTTTTTTCATTCAATGCCTGTACCAAATAGTAGCACAAATTCTAGTTGGTATTAATATTAAAAACCCAGAAACAGATATTGGGGTCAAGACTGAAGATCATAAAAGCAAAAGGCCAGCCACTAGAGAGTTCTCACCTCTACCAATGCTCAGAACAAAAGGGCGATCCTGTCCTCAGACTACATCTCCAGACTGCATCTGTCTCCACCAAACATCAGACTGCTTCTGATTGCACTGCTCCTCAGACTGCACTCAAACTACACTGAGATCCTGTCTCCTCCTGCCTTATATTACTATCTAGTGCTGTGATTAAAGGTGTGGTATCCCAAGTGTTGAGATCACCTTTGTGTGAGCTCTGTTTCTCTTTTAGACTGGATCAATTTTGTGTAGCTCTGGGTAGCCTTGAACTCACAGAGATCTGTCTGCCTCTGTCTACTGAGTGCTGGGATTAAAAGTATGAGCCACCACTGCCTGATCTCTATGACTAACTAGTGCGGCTGCTGGGATTAAAGGTGTGTACCAACACTGCCTGGTCTCTATGGTATCTAGTGTGGCTGTCTTTTCACTCTGATCTTCAGACAAGTTTTATTTATTAGATCATAAAGAAAATATCACCACACCAAATTGTTATGTATATAAATACAGTTTTTCATTTTCGCTGGTTAATATTCTATTACATGAATATATCACAGACTATTTATGTATCTAATTATTTTAGATTGTTAATTAATTTTATGTTCTTATAAAGGGGTCAAGACCACGCTGGAAAAACCCACAGAAACACCTGACCTGAGCAAGTATAAACTCATGGACCCCAGTCTGACAGCTGGGAAACCAACTTAGGACCAAACCAGGCCCCCTGAATGTGGTTGTCAGTTAGGGCAGTCTATGGGGTCTATGGCAGTGGATCCAGGATGAATCCCTAATGCACAAACAGATTTTGGAAGCCCATTTCCCCTGGAGGGATACTCTCTTAGCCTAGATACACAGGGGAGGGCCTAGGCCCTGCCCCAAATGACTTGACAGATCTTAATGATTCCTCATGAAAGGCCTCACCCTCCCCAGGGAGTGGATGGGGGGGGATCGTTGGGGAAGATGGGAAAATGGGAGGGAAAGGAAACAGGAATTCATATGTAAAATAAGATTGTTTCTAATTTAAATAAAAAATTTTTAAAGTTATGCTTTTATAAACATCTTATGGTACAAATGTATAGTAATTTCCTATAATACATACCTAAGATTGAAATGGCTGGATCATGAGCATGTTGCATGTTCAACCTTATTATTATTAGATATTGTCATTATCTTCCTAAGCATTTAACAATATAAATTACCAACAGCAGGGCCTCTAGAAATGGCTCAGTGGGCAAAGGAACTTACTGTACAAGCATAGCAACTTGAGTTTAATTCCCAGAACATACATAAAGGTGAGAGGAGAGAACCAACTCCACAAAATTGTTCTCTGACTTAAATATGTGTGCTGTGCTACACATGCATGCAACGCAACACACACACACACACACACACACACACACAAGAAGTTTTTTTTTTTTTTTTTTGGATTTTCAAGACAGGGTTTCTCTGTAGCTTTGGAGGCTGTCCTGGAACTCACTTTGTAGACCAGGCTGGCCTCGAACTCACAGAGATCCGCCTGCCTCTGCCTCCCGAGTGCTGGGATTAAAGGCATGCGCCACCAACGCCCGACCACACGAGAAGTTTTTAAAGCCTTTAAAAATCAATTAGTCTCTAACAGCAGAATATGAATTCTGTTTGTTTCACATACTCATCAAGACGTCATAGTATCAAACAAACCTTTCAAAAGGTGACTAGAAATTTGTTTTCTTAGAATATGAATTCTGTTCGTTTCACATACTCATCAAGACCTCATAGTATCAAACAAACCTATCAAAAGGTGACTAGAAATTTGTTTTCTAAAGTACTATATGATATTAGAGATTAAGAAGTTAACTTTAAATAACCTTCTATCATATATAAGTACATAAAACATATGCCAAATGTAACAAGTTCCATCTTAAATAATAAAGTTTCACATTAGAAATAACCACAAAAAGACAAAAAAGAAAAACATAAAACCATACAATAATGTGGCCTTACAATAAAGACTATGATTAATAATCTTAATGGACTACTTCATCCAACAATTGCAGAATAAACATTATCTGAAGGTACAAGTTTATAAAACCCAAGTTATCTTCTGGCCTCCACATATGCATACATATGTATGCACACTCACACGGATATGTACACACAAAAATTGTGTACTATTTCATACTAATATACGTTTCAGCAAAATTTTGTTTCCCCAAACCTTTGTGCTATTTAGTTAGACATTATAGATCTTATAAACTCTATAAACCCTAATTTTTAAAAAATGCTTTGACCTGACCTGAAAAAGGGGGAGCTTCCAGATTGATAGCTGGGAAACCAGCATAGGACTGACCCAGACCCCCTGAACATGAGTGTCAGTTAGGAGCCCAGCACAATCTATAGGGTCTAGGGGAGGCCTAGGCCCTGCTCCAAATGATATGACAGTCTTTGAAGATCCCCCATGGAAGGTCTCACCCTCACTGGGGAGCAGAAAGAGAATGGGATAGGGGATTGGTAGGGGTCAGGGGAGGAGGGGAGGGAGAAGGAACTGGGAATGACATGTAAAACAAGCTTGTTTCTAATTTAAATTAAGGAAATAAATAAATAAATGTTTTGACATTATAATTACATTTGCCCCTTCCCTTTCCTCCAAATACTCCCATACACCTCTCTTACTGCTCTCAAATTCATGGTCTCTTTTTCCATTGTCATTGCATCCATACATGTTTGTACATCTATATACATATATATTTATAAATATAACCTCTTCAGTCTGTATAATTTTCATTATATGTATATTTTCAGGGCTGACCCCATTTGGCACTGAACAACCAATTAGTGTGCACTGTCATGGGGAAGACTACTCTCACTCCCAGCTTTTCTAAGTTGACTACAGTTCTTTGTATAGGGCTGAGGCCTCATAGGCTTTTTCTCTATCCAGTTTGGCATGTCCATTTGTATCATTTTTGTTCAGCTCACATATGGGTAATCATGTTAGTGAGTCTTTATGAGTATATCTTCTGATGCTACTAGGAAATACAATCTCACAGCAAATTCCCTGAACCTCTGGTTCTCACAATCTTTCTTCCCCCTCTTCCACAGTGTTTCCTAAGCCTTAGGTACTATATAGATGCTATAGACTTTATAAACTCCACAAAACCTAATTATATATATATATATATATATATATATATTGGTTTTTATGAGACAGGGTTTCTCTGTAGTGTTTTGGAGGCTATCGGTTCAGCCCAGCCTCGAATTCACAGAGATCCGCCTGCCTCTGCCTCCCAAGTGCTGGGATTAAAGGCGTGCGCCACCAACGCCCGGCTCTAATTTTATAAATTTTAAGCAGCAATATGTATATCTCTTCAAAAATTAAATGAAGAAAGTAAAATATAAAATTTGTTATATTTTATATATTTATCATTTACCATTTCTGATGCTTCTGATTATTCTAACTAATCTATATTTCTGTTTAGTGTTATTTTTTTCAACCTCAAGAAATACTTTCAACATTTCTTATAACATAGATCTTAATGCTATTTTTTTCTATGTACAAAATCCTATAATGACAGTTTATTTCTTGCAGCATTATACATATGCCATTCCTTTGTTATGTGTATCCATGAGCCTTATAAAACATCAGTCCTCATTATTTGTGTCACAGTTCTATAGTGTGACATTTTTCTATGTGATTTTTAAGTTCCTCTTTATCCTCTGTTTAGCACTTTGACAAATATATGGCTGCCTAGATACAGTCTTCATCCTATTTATCCTGCTTGGGGCTTACTGATAGCCAAGTTTTAAAAACAAACAAACATAATCAAAAACCAAGAGCTGCTGGGCATTGGTGGCACACGCCTTTAATCCCAGTACTCGGCAGGCAGAGGCAGGTGGATCTCTGTGAGTTTGAGACCAAGCCTGGTCTACCGAGTGAGTTCCAGGACAGCCTCCAAAACAATGCAGAGAAACCCTGTCTTGAAAAAAAAAAAAAACAAGAGCTTTGTAATGTAGTCACTGGCAAGTTACAAATGCCCCAGTGGGTATCTTCCTACTTATAAACATATACCCTGATTAAACCCAGTGGGTCACAAAGCAAAAACAAAACAAAAAGATATGAAGGAAATAGGTACTAGTAAGAAAAGAGCAAATTAGTGGGTTGGGAGGGGCATAGGACAAGAAGTGGGGGATGTATATGTGGCCAGAATATATTATAAATATGTACAAAATTGTCAAACCATATATTTAAAAAAACAAGAAAAATTTCTGCCGGGCAGTGCTGGTGTACACCTTTAATCCCAGCACTCAGGAGTTCGAGACCAGCCTGGTCTACAGGAACTAGTTCCAGGACAGCCTCCAAAGCCACAGAGAAACCCTGTCTCGAAAACCCCACCCCATCCCCACAAAAAAAGAAAGAAAATTTTAATAAGCTTCTCAAATAATTATCTTTTTTGCCATTTTATCCTCCTCTCTTCCTCAGAGATTCTAATTACATCTTGCCATTTTTTCTCCTCTCTTCCTCAGAGATTCTAATTACATATTTTAAATCACTTGGTACTGTTCTACGGGTCTGTGAAAGACTATTCTCTTTACAAAAAAATTTTCTGTGATACTTGAAATAGATAATTTGTGCCTATACAGCTTTAATTTTACTAATAATTTATTCATTTTAAAAATATGTTATTAGGACCATATGAGTGTTTTGCACTTTTCAATTAAAAGTCTAATTTTTAGTATATCTTTTTTTTTGGGGGGGGGTTTCCGAGACAGGGTTTTCCCTGTATTGTTTTGGAGGCTGTCTTGGAACTCGCTCTGTAGACCAGTCTGGCCTCGAACTCACAGAGATCAACCTGCTTCTGCCTTCCCAAGTGCTGGGATTAAAACCGTGCACCACCAAAGCCCAGATTTAGTTTTATCTTATGGTCATTTCTTAAATGATTTTCATGCTCTAATGGATATCTGTATTGTCTTCAATTTGGGGCTATTGTAAATAATACTGCTATGAACATTTTTGGTAATTTCTGTCTCAAGGAATTCAGGTGCATAATGTATCTACTGTTTACTTTTCTATGTAATTTTCAGAAGCTTATGATAATTCTTACTTGTCTTCATTTTTAATGACAATATTTACATTTCTTGTTTCTAGTACTACTTCAAGATATTATAAAATACTTTATTTTCATCAAAATGTTCATTTAATATGTTGATTTCACTAAAGATTCAAAAATATTTATTGAATACTTGGTATTAATCATTGCCTAAAGAGGATGATAACAAAATCTGGTCCTGATATCATAGGCTTACTCTAAGGCTTTATATTCTACAAAGTCTCAAATCCTTGATACAACAGGATAACTATATTTTACAGCAACCTGACTGTAATATATACTAGTGCCAACAGTGGCACATATGTTATAGAAGTAACCAACCAGTTACTGATTGGGTTTAAGGTCTGTTGTATGAGCTAGACTCCACATCTAACTCTGCTAAAGAAGCCAAGAATTAGCCGGGTGTTGGTGGCGCACACCTTTAATCCCAGCACTTGGAAAGGCAGAGGCAGACTGATCTCTGTGAGTTCGAGCCCAGTCTGGTCTACAGAGCGAGTTCCAGGACAGCCTCCAAAACAATACAGAGAAACCTTGTCTCGAAAAACCAAAAAAAAAAAAAAAAAAAAAAAAGAAGCCAAGAACCTGAGACCTAGGTCTAAGGGGAAACCTAATACTATTATTCTACTAAAAGAATACAGCAATAAATGACTCCTAATGACATTCTACTAGATCAGTGCCTTGATCAATCCTCATCAGAGAAGAAGCTTCTTGAAATAGATGAGAAGTTACACAGAGACCGACAACAACTGTGAATATGCAGAGTGAGAGACTCTGTAGCACTCAGTCATAAATGAGATGTCTTCATCAAAGCTCTCCCCAGCAAGACTCAGGAATCCATGAGGAAGAAGAGGCAGAAAGGTGAGAGGTGATAAATGAAGGAAACAGTGTCTTCCAGTCACAATAGGAATGATGAAAATATAAAGTCACAAATATTGTGGGAACAGACACAAAAGGCCTACACAGGTTCAAGCTAGACAGGGTCTCAAAACTGAGAAGGAGCAGTGGAAACAGGTCCCCACGCCTAAGCAAGAAATTATCTGCAAATGATACTGGCTGACAAAGGGGGGGAAAAAAATCAATTTTCTCCAAAGGAGTCTCACTGGGTTTATTAACACACTCCAGGTCAGGTCAATGCCCAAGAGTAGTTAGCCAATACAAAATGAACTCAATCATATTTTTATAAGTTTTTTTTTATCACATTCTACTTTGTTTAGGCACTTTTTTGTCTCATTGGTCTTTTGCTTATATGTTTTTATTTCAGTTTTGTAGTGTTTGTGTGTGCTTCTTTTTCTGTTTGTTGTTTTTTAAGAGAGAGAAAAAAGAACATAAAGTTGGGTGAGTAGGGAAGTGGGTAAGATCTAGAAACAATTGGAGGGATAAACATAATCAAAATGTATTATATGGGAAAAATAAAGAAAAAATATATAGATTACATGCTCATTTGCTTTATGGTATATAAGCAAAGAAAATAACACACATATATATCATACACACATGTATTTTTAAGCTGCTCACATGATTCTGACCCAGCTAAATCACAATGAACATTTAATCATACCTACAAGAATTAATTTGTTCAATCCAAAAGTACAGCAGTATCTAAAGGTAATCATCAAACTATAAATAAAAAATATAGTATTTCTAAACCCTCATTTATCCTCTAGTATTTAAGAAAACAAAAATAAAAATGTCACATACCTTTATCTCATATGCATTCAGTTGTTTGCTTTCTGCTGAGCTCTTTTTTTTCAAGGCCTTATTCTATGGAAAATTAATTATGGAAAGTTAATTAGTTACTAAGGTGATTAAGACTTAACAATGAAATGAAACGACTTACACCTAAATCACCAGAAACAAAAGCATTGTTCTCTAAAACTATAGTGTAAATATTGGGATAATTTTGAGGATATTTATATTATTAAGAAAACCTACCTCCTTGGGTAGTAGATCAGTATTCATCCCGGGTATACAAATGGACTTTGGACTCCCATCCAACAATGAGAGATGCACTCTCACCCTGAACTCTTGGGGGAGGGTCTAGGCCCTGCCCTGGATGAAATGACAGATTATGGACACCCCCAAGGGGGGCCTCACCCTCCCTGGGGAAGTGAGCATATGGGGGGGGGGTTGGTGGGAGGGCATGGGAGGAGGGGAAGGAAACGGAGAGGGACCTGGAATTTACATGTGAAGCAACCTATTTTCTAATTTAAATTTAAATTTAAAAATAAAAAATGTATATTTAAAAAAAAAAAGCCTACCTCCTGATGAAGTTCTTCAATATACTTGCTTTTATTTTCAGCTTGTTTCCTTAAATTATTACACTGTAAAATTATTTTAAAAATTACATAATTTTACTCAATATTCTGATCAAAATAAGCAATTTCAAACTAATAAAACATTGCATGATATAATGTAAGGCTCACTTGTGATTTCAAAAGTCAATTTGTTAACATAAAAATATAAATATGATGTCTTTATTACTTGTTATTCTCTCATTCTCATTTCTGAGATTCTAATGTTATTAAATTTGGCAGAGAAGTATAATATGATATTCTTATCTCCTGACAGAATTCCAATTCTTATTGAAATACGAACTAAGCCACTTCTTAATATCTTACTTGGTGGGAGTATTTCATCTAAATACATGCAGAACTAAATTAAAATACATCTTAAGTGCCATAAAATATTTTTTCTAATACTCAAACATGACCATAGTTAATATTCTACATACAAATTAATTTTATATAGCATTATATAAACTTTTTCTGTTTACAAGTAAATTTTTTTAAGTTTTTTTTGAGATAGGGTTACTCTGTGTAGCCCTAGATGCCCTGAAACTTGCTCTGTAGACCAAACTGGTCTCAACATCACAGAGGTCCATCTGCCTCTACCTCCCAAGTGCTGGGATTAAAGGTGTATGCCACCACCACCTGGCACAAGTGATACTTTTCATAATTAGTGTCTCATTGTACACCCAAGCTTACTTCAAACCATCATCTTCCCAACTTTGTCTCCCGTAAACTGGCATTACAGAAATGTACCACCATGCCTGGCTACAAGTGGTTTATCTAAAATTTTGCATACCTCAAGCCTGATTGAGAACAATTTCAAAAGGAAAATACATCCACAGAAAAACATGAAAAGTATTTCTCTGATTTTCACTGATTTGACACATTAGCACCAGAATTGGCAATATATGCCTTTAACACTGGGCACTAGGGAGACAGAGTCAGACCCATCTCTATAAATCCAAGGCCAGACTACTATGTAGTGAACTCCAGGCCAGCCAAGGCTACACTGGAAGATTCAGTCTCAATAAATAAATAAATAAATAAATAAATAAATAAATAAATAAATAAATAAATAAAATCCACAGTAACAGATGAAATTATCTTTACATGAAATTTTTATTCAGTAAAAAAAAAATCAAGCATTTTTATTTTGGTAGAAAGGCTACTAAGGCCGAGCGTTGGTGGCATACGCCTTTAATCCCAGCACTTGGGAGGCAGAGGCAGGCAGATCTCTGTGAGTTCAAGGCCAGCCTGGTCTACAGAGCGAGTTCCAGGACAGCCTCCAAAACAATACAGAGAAACCCTGTCTCGAAAAACCAAAAAAAAAAGCTACTTTAGATCCTCGTGATATGATTTTTAATAAATCTAGAACTATTTTATTTACCAGTTGAAATAAATTTTTTCCTCTGGATAAAAAACAAATGATTATTCATTACAGGTCAGAATTTCAGACAGTGAACTATACTTTCCAGAGGATTGTTCATTATATGGAAATAGATTAAGTATAGGACAAGATATATCGTAAGATCAGAAAAAGGGAAACCCAGGTAAATAAAAACCACTTCAAATAAAGAGGGCAGGAATTTTTCTGCAGCTCAATTTTAGAAATGAGCAAAATAGCTAAATGATTCTAGAAACATCTTGTCATTTTGAGACTATTCACAATGAATACAGCTACTTCTGAGCATGAAATTTTACAGAAAAAGAGAAGTAGGGAGTCGAATAAAATTTTGGTCTTTGAAGGCCTATTCAACATAGGTGAATCCAGAGTCTGTTCCAATAAATATCAATAGAAACACTATTATTATTCTACAAAGCCTTCTAGAGGAGAATAATAGAAAGGCCAGTCCTTCAAACTCTGATCATATATTTTCACAAAGTTCTTATTCCCAAACATTTTCCATAATTTGTTAATACCTTATTTTCTAGTATCTTCATTTGCTTTTCTTTCTTTAAAACTTCACATTCAATGCTTCGAGCCTAAAATATACATATATATATGATTTCAAATGATAAAGTGTCATTAGAATTTCATTTTCTTATGTTTTAAATGAAATTATAGTTTTATATATTAACAAAATACTTATCAGCTCATCCAGTTTATTTCACTGTCCTTTTAAAAAAGAATATACCTTTATGAGATGTCAACTGCCTTGATTTAATATTTCATTATATATGCAGTGTGTGTGTGTGTGTGTGTGTGTGTGTGTGTGTGTGCTTTTTGAGACATTTCTCCATGTAGTCCTGGCTTTCCTGGAACTGGCTCAACCAAGCTAGCCTCAAACTCAAAGAAATCTACCTGCCTCTGTCTCCTGAGTGATGGGATTAAAGGCATGCACCACCACTGCTGGACATAAATTATATTTTACATAAATCTTTATGTTATAAATATATCTATCAAAAGCATTTATATGAATCATGTGTAGTGACCAGTCCCCCATTTTAGCAGCCATTACAGGCTAACATGTGCTTGCATGACCTTGCAGCTCCTGTCCTGGTCACTAAGGTCAGATGCCCTCCTCATGGCAAGGACCCATCAGAAGTTAGCTGGCAAGGCTGTGCTTTATGGCTCTGGGTGTGCTTTACAGACAGCACACAACAGTGACATGCAGAACATAGCAACCACCCTGGGAGGGCCTATGGGTCATAATAACCAGTTGACCAATCAACACAGGGCGGGTCACCCAAACCTGGAAGCGCACCAATCTTGAGACTGTTTCATACCCCTAGACACTCCCCTTACGCTGCCCTTTAAGATCCCTGCCTCGAGGTTGCTTGGGGTCTTTCTCCAGCCATTCGTCATGGTGGCAGGGTGAAGGGCCCAAGCTAGTGGTTAGCTCGTTAAACATCTACAATAAAAGACTCTTTGCTTTTGCATCGAAATGGGCCTCTTGGTGATTTTTGGGGTTCAGAATTTGGGCACAACACATGCAACAACTCAGTAAAATAAAAGGATAGGTATTATTACTTCTATTTTAAGAAATGAGAAAACTGAAGCTCAGATAGATCAAGTATGTACAAAGTAACTAAACTAAGAAGGCAGTGGACTGGGAAAAAAAGAAGTGTAATTGAACTAAATGTCAAGCAAACTATCCAAAAATACTTATAATATGAACTTCTGGAAAATGTTTTAATGATAAAGTCCAGCCGCAGAAAATAGAAATAAGATAACATATTCATCATCCATTTAATTTCATGACTTGTCAGGGCCCATGAAAAGGAGTCCATTTCATTTTGACTAAAGGTCAGAGAGTTCAAAAATGTCCTTATGCCTTCTGTAGCTTGGAAGCTACAGGATGTTTTGGCCTTGGTAGTGGATGTCTCTATCTAAATAACAACAGACTTGGGCCAGGTGTGTTTACTCTCAAACCAAAGGCAATGCTGGATGGCAGGTATGGCTACCAAATATCTGGAGGATTAAGAGAAGTCTCTTTGCCCCTTATACATGATAATAGAAGTCTTCTGCCATTGTCCTCACTTTTGGTTGGATACTTAAGATTCTTACAGAATAAACTGAGGGCGCATTCACTATTAACTGAATCTGCCCACCTGACACCTATTCTGTGTCTCTGTGTCATCCCTCTTAACCCCTTTACCTAGCTTTTCTTCATTCACAATCCCCAGGTATGAACCGTGGGCTGCCGAGGCTGGCTATGACTGCAGCCCTGCAAAGGCAGCTTCCCACAATGCCTACTTACTGATATTTCCTTTTTAAAAAGATTTTTCCTATTACTTTTAATTACATGTGCTTGTATGTGTTTGTTTGGGCCTGTGCACATATATATGCAGGTACCCATGAAGTTCAGAGGACCATGTCAGATCCCCTGAGGTTAGAGTTAAAAGCGGCTGTGAGCTTTCCAATATGGGTACTGTAGAACTAGGATCCTCAGTAAAAGCATTACTTGCTCTTAAACACTGAGCCATCTCTCCAGTCCCCTTATCACTAAGATTTTCTACATTAGCAAAATAGATTATACTTTAAATTCTTTATATTCATTTGTAGTATCTATATCTCTCTTTGTCTCTCTGTGTGCCCTCATGCACGCCTTTGTGTTATGTACATGTTTGGTGCATGTACATTTAAGATAGAATTGTTCACTTAACTTGAAGCTTATCAATTGGATTAGGCTGGCTAGCCAAAGAGTTCCAGAAATGCGCCTGTCTCCACCTTCCCAGAGCTGGATCTGACTTTGTGCCACTGTGCTCAGCTTTTATGTGGATGCTAGGAATCTGAACTCAAGTCCTCATATTTGCATGTTAAGCATTTTACCAACTCAATCATCTCCCCAGTCCCCATGCTTAAATTGCAGTTAAGTAAAATAATACATAGAAAGAACCTTGAATATGTCTGCTCTGTAATAAGCCCTTAAAGAAAAGTCAGCTTAATCTTAAACTAATCTAATAGTCTTTATGATTCCTTCTTTTTAAGATTTATTTATTTATCACATATACTGTGTTCTGCTTACATTCTAGAAGAGGGCACCAGACTGAATTGTAGATGGCTGTGAGCCACCATTTTGGTTGCTGGGAATTGAACTCAGGACCCCTGGAAGAGCAGTCAGTGCTCTACCCTCTGAGCCATCTCTTCAGTCCCATAATCTTTATGATTTCTAAAAGGTAAATATAACAATTCTCAAGTGAAAACTGTTCACTATTCTTGAATTCCTAAATACAAGTTACGGAGGCTTTAAATGTATTTCTTACCAGCCCCCTTTTCCTCTGCTCTTCTCTCTACCCATCTTCATCTTTACCCATTCTCCCTACTGTTACTACCTTAATCTCTATCTTTTAGCCATAATAAATTTTAATTGCTTAATTTTGTTTTAGTCTTTCATACTTCCAGGGTTTCCCAAATTTATGTTTTTTTTTAAATTTGGACTATTTTCTTCTGCATGTTAAACTCTACTTTCTACTAATTGCTGTAACTTAAGCCAACTGAGTATTTTGTCTTCTAAAAAGCATGCCCAGACTTTTTGATTAATGCTGTTCTGTATAGTAGAATCTATATAGAGGATCAACATTACAGTCTTGCAGTGCCCTTCCTTCAATGGACTCCTTTATTGTAAATTCCACAGTAATTCTGTTCAGATTATCCACTAGCCACAATAACTGACTTAGAAATAAGTAAATAAGCTAAACAAGACCAGAGTCTTCCATTTTTTTCTCAATAGTTTTAAGATACTTTTTAGTAGCCTTCTAAATTCTGTCTTTGAACTCTCCTCATTTCATCCTCAAGTATTAAAACATTTTACTACCCCAAGCCGGGTGTTGGTGGCACACTCCTTTAATCCCAGCACTTGGGAGGCAGAGGCAGGCGGATCTCTGTGAGTTCGAGGCCAGCCTGGTCTACAAGAGCTAGTGCCAGGACAGCCTCCAAAGCCACAGAGAAACCCTGTCTCGAAAAAACAAAAAAAAAAAACAAAGAACATTTTACTACCCCAATAAAACTTGAGATCACTTCTGCCCACCAAAGTAAATGAAATCTAAACTCAGCACCTCGAACAATACATGGGGACATAGTTGGTGTTATATAATACTTGTTGAAAACTGAAGAAGCCTTCATAATCAAGCACAGTATTTCAACTTTGGCACAATTTTCTCCCACTCCCTCTATATACACTTGAAGGGACCAGCCCCCTGCTTTAGCATTCATGACAGGCTACAGAAAAGACATGTAGGCCTCTGCAGCACATGTCTGACCTTGCTGGGTCTGCCCTAATCACTAGGAAGTGTCAGATACCCTCCTTGTGGCAAGGAACCAATCTGAAGTTAGCTGGCAAGGCTGTGCTTTATGGCTCTGGGTGTGCTTTATGGACAAATGCACAACAGTGATGTGCAGAGCACAGCAACAACCCTGGGAGGGCCTATAGGCCATAACAACCAGTTGACCAATCAACACAGGACAGGTCATCCAAGCCCGGAAGCACACCAATCCTGAGACTGTTGCATACCTCTAGACACTCCACTTGTGCTACCCAATATATTCCCTGCCTCGTGGATCCCCTGGGTCTTTATCCAGTCATCCTCTGCAATGAATGAAGGCTTGAGCTAATGGGGTTAGCTCATTAAACAACAATAAAAGATTATTTGCTTTTGAATAAAATGGGCCTCTTGGTGATTTTGAGGTTTCAGAATTTGGGCACAAGACACTATACTGTGTAATCATGTGACACAGTTTATACTCTCATAATATTGTGACATTTTACCTCAACTTAATGAAAATATATTCAAGGTATAACACAATCTTTTAGTACATTAAGTATTATCATAGCGTGAGCTTTTAATTTAGCCTAAAAATGTAAGTTAAAATTAAATACTAAATATTTGGGGCTAGAGAGATGCTCTTCCAGAGGACCTGGGTTCTTAGCACTTATTACCATCTCACAACTATCTGTAAATTGAGTTCCAAGGAATCTCAGGCCTCCATGAACACCAAACATGAGCAAGGCACACATTCACACAGGCAAATACCCATGCACATAGTAACAATAAAACTTAAATGAACATTTTTCAAATATGTTTAGAATTATATGACTATTTCTTACAAATATATATAAGTAACTTAAACCATAGCATTTAAAGATTTTGTGTTTTGCTTGTATGTATATGTACCACATGTTTCAGTGTACACAGACCTCAAAAGATGGTATCAGATCTCACAGAACAGTTATGATATCAGATCTCAGATATGAGTCATATGGGTACTAAGAACTGAACTTGGTGGTCTTTGGCAAGAGCAGCAAGTGCTTTTAATGACTGAATCATCTCTTTAGCCTCCTTTAACCTATATTTAAATGTTCATTGCTTAGTACCTAGACCACTAGTTATTTAGTCACTTTATTATCTGTATTAGTTTTATGATTTAAATTTTTGAATCCAATCTATTGTTAAAAATATAACATACATTTTCTTCACTCTTATCCAATTTACATTTAACTTCATTTCCTTGCTGTATGAACTCTTTTCTTACTGATTCCAGTTCATCCCTAAAAAGAAAATATAAGAATAACATCATAATCCAAACTACATTTTCATCTATGAAGATTTTTTAATGATTGCTTATTAACTTTTTAGGTTTGAGTTCTCATTGTGGCTGCTAATTTTTCATGCATGGCTATTAATAGGCACATTTCCATTCCCACATTTAAGTTATTGTACTATTTATCTTTAAATTATATCCATCCTTGTCATCATTTTCCTACTTTTAAAAAACCATAGGAATATTTCATTTTTATCTTATCATTCTAACGCATATATAGAATGTTATACAAATAAATTAAAAATATAAGTACAATTTATTGTATTGCAATTTGCATACACATATATCATTGTACATGCCCAGATATTTTCCAGAAAAATACATAACAGTGATGAAAAGGCAAAAGATACTATTCTTCCACGATGTGCTCCTTTGACCCTTGGAATTTTGTATTCATGTATTACTCCTTTGAAAGTATTTTCATTAAAATCTTGTATATTACTGATTGAAATATTGATGGTAATCTCATCATACACTTGAAGATATTTTTCTAATTGTAGTTTCCCTTTGTACCACTACTACATTGGCAATATAATCAGTGATCTGACCTTACAAAAACTGAATCCAGGATATGATTTTTCTTAAAATTTTTCACATGTATTTATTTGTTTACTTATTGAGAGAAAGAGACAAAGAAAATATGTGTTTTCAATAATATATGTATGGAGGTCAGAGGACAACATCTAAAGGTCAGTTTTTCCTTCCACCGTGTGGATTCCAGAGATTGGACACAAAACATCAGGCTCAGCAGTGAGTACTTTTACCACTAAGATATCACTCCAACTTTATTCTTTAAATGAGTACAAATTTATAACAAGTACGTTCACTGTTTGTAAATAGCTTAAAGGACCATAAGTCCAAGATATTCAAACCATATTACTCAGATAATTTGAATTGTATTTTAAAAACAGCCTCTTGAGCTAAAGAGATAGCTCAGCAGATAAGGTGCTTCCCTTGCAAGCATAATGACCTAAGTTTCATCCCCAGCAACTACATAAAAAAGCAGGGATTGTTGGGGCATGTTCGTAATCCCAATGCTGGGGAGGGAGAGACAGGCAGAACCCTGAGGATTGCTTGTTGGCCAGCCTAGCCTACTTGGTGAGTTCCAGACTAGTAAGATACCATGTCTTTTTAAAAAGGAAGTATGTAGTACCTAAAGAATGACATCTGAGGCTGTTCTCTGCCCTCCACACACTCATATAGTATACTTACATGTGCACACACAGAGGCTCTTGATGTGTCATAACACACATCTGTAATCCCAATACTTGGGAGTCTAAAACAGGAAGATCAGCTAAATTCAATCCTGGGCTACATAGTTAAGACCCCATCTCAAAAACTAAGTGAATGAATTTAAGCTTTTTGAAAATCATAGAAAAAAATCAAACAGCTTCTCTTTAAAATTTGTTTTCATACTTTAACCAAAAAAACACAGTGGTTTAATCATAGATATCTGTAAATAACAGCTGCTTCTGAAGAAAACTGAGCAAAAAAAGGGCAAAATCAATCATTATGGGTATGGCAGAAGATGATTTTCTAAGTCTAGAAAATAGTTAACAGCTAATAATTTATTAAGTGCTGACTGTATCAAGCACTATATTCAGCACTACTCACAATACCTCATATAGTCTCCAAACAATTCTATGAAGAGCTGTACTAGGTGTAAAGATTTCAAATAATTTAAAATAGAAGTTTTCAAAAGCACATTCCTTGACCAAACATGGGAATCCAAAATTTCAATGTAGTAAGAATACACACGCAATATTTGGAAATCATCCAAATTACCAATGGATTAAAAAGAAACTTAAAACACACACACACATACACACACTTTAGAAAATAATAGTAAAACTGCATTATCAAGTCAGGCATGAAGTTCGTATTTCCAACAACAGGTGGCAGAGGCAAGTTCAAGTCCAGCCTGGTTTACATAGGCCCTTCCCCTTGGACCTATGTACTATCTAGCTATGGATCCTTGGCCTTGGTAATGGTGCCAGATTCGGGTTCTATCTTCTGGAGAAATCCTTAAATCCAATCAAAATGTGGTTGGTTACTCCCATAACATTCCTTCCAGTGGCTTTTTATTTGCTAGCATATAGTATCTAGTATGGCCATGTCCCCTCCGCCATAGTTGAACTCTATTTAAACTCTTTGTATATGCATATGTGTTTTAGGAAGCGTCTATAGTAAAAGGTTCTATATGTGCTTATTAACGGTCTTTAGGGTTAGTTACCCTTCCTCTTACTCCCTCCTCTACCTTGTCCTTCCATCCTTATCCTACTTAACCCTTTCTGCCCCATTTTTCCCCTTTCCCTCTTTTATCACTTCATTCTATCTCCCTACCCCAGGAAATCCCCCCAATCCATGGCTCCTTAGTAGTTTCCTGACTATGGGTATTCCAAATGAAACACACATATTTAAAGATTCAAAGCTACCAGCCACATGTGGTAGAAAGCATGCCATACTTGTCTTTCTGGGTATGATTTACCTCACTCAAATGATGATTTCCAGCTCCATTTATTTACATATGAATTTCATAGTTTCCTTTTTCTCATCAGCTGAATAATATTCCATTGTGTAAATGTATCATATTTTCATTATCCATTCAGTTGATGGGCACCCAGATTCTGTTCTATTACTCTACTAAATAGACTTTTAAACTAACTCTACTGACTTATTGCTAGACCCACAATTAAGTGCAGCTCTCAACCCCATTAGAAAAGCTTCTCTTTGTAGTAGATGGCAGTTAGTACAAAGACCTCCATAACTCATCAATGTATAGAGAATAAGAGGCTGCAGAGTTCTCAGTCCTAAATAAGATATCTGTATCACACACCCTCTCCCAAGGCTCAGGGATCATTGTGGAAGAAGGAGTAGAAGCAAAGGAAGAGCCAGAGAAGGTGGATGGCTACAGGAAAACAGTGTGTTCCAGACACAACAGGGCAGTTGCATATATGAACTCAAGAGTTCTGATAGCATGCCTAAGATATATGCAAGCTCAAGCTAACAAAATTCAGCAAGAACAGGAAAGATGGATACAAAGTCCCAACCTAGTGAGAGGGACAGCAAATTTTCTTTAAGGGTGTGACCCCTGGTAGATTGCCACATTCCCAGGGATTAGCCTCATATGAATATTTGGAGACTGCAAATTGGACTGGATGGGTTTAAAGGAAAACAAAACAGGACATGAAAGTTCAGTAGGTAAAGAGACGGAGGTGGATCTAGGAGTAGTTGAGGGGAGGAGATGAATATGATCAAAATTCAAAGAACTAATAAAAATAGTATTTTTAAAATGTCATTTCAAAATAAAAAATAGAAAATAAAAATGCCATGTCAAATTCATAGGTGTGGTTGCAAGTATTTGAAGGATTGAAATGTTTTTATATTTTTAAAAGAAATAGAAAAGCTAAACAGGTCGTCAGTATACAAATTTTGAAAGAACAATAAAAAAGGACTAGTATGTGAATTCAGTAAGGCAAAAGTATTTTAAGTATAAAAGCAATAGTATAAATACACAAATGGAAAAACATAGTTAATAGAAACTTTTAAATCTATTAAAAAGTCTCAAATTAAAGGAAAACAAGTTATAGAAATTGTAGAAATAGGGGCTGGAGAGATGGCTCAGAGGTTAAGAGCACTGACTGCTCTTCCAGAGGTCATGAGTTCAATTCCCAGCAACCACATGGTGGCTCACAACCACCAGTAATAAGATCTGGTGCCCTTTCCTGGCTTGCAGACATACATAGAGGCAGGATGTTGTATTCATAATAAATAAAAAAAATCTTTAAAAAAAAAAGAAATTGTACAAATAAAATGATAAAGGATTGCTACTTTAATGCTTAAGTCAAAAGTAAATAATAAGGGGGCTGGAGAGATGGCTTAGAGGTTAAGAGCACTGACTGTTCTTCCAGAGGTTCTGAGTTCAATTCCCAGCAACTACATGGTGGCTCACAACCATCTATAATGAGATCTGGTACCCTCTTCTGGCCTAGAGGCATACAGTCAGACAGAACACTGTATACATAATAAATAAATCTTTTTTTAAAAAAAGTAAATAATAAAACCCTTAAAAGATTTAAGAGTATGAATATTTCCAAGTAATTTTACAAAGAAAAATTCTTATAAGCAAATCTTGAAGAAATCTAAAACATATACAAAATGTAATAACAGTAAATCATGAAATGTTACTTATGTTTTAAATTATTGATAAATTAATGATGACACCAAATAACAATTGAAACATTTTGGGACCAGAGCTTTCAACCTGATCTTGGTTGAATTTGAATTTTATACTTAATAAAAACTACTGGAAAACAGTTGATTACCAAGTCACTGGAATCATTTCTATGATTTTATTAATAAATGCAAACTAAAAGATATTCTTTCAAATTTAAAATAAAGAAAAAATACATGTGCTCCTTGTTTATCAGTATGATTTGTAATAGTGGAAAAACTGGAAATGTAAACATCCAAAAATGAAAAGTTAATACTATTACATATACAAATAATTGTGAAAAACATCGAGAAACATAAATAATGCTTAAAATATTAAATGTAAAATATAAATAATATAAAATTATGTGATTATTATTAAGAGTTAAATATATTATGAAAACAGTTAACATAAATATTCTAATACAGTAGTTGATGTTCTTAATTTTTAAAAATTTTTTATTCTCAATTTTCTAGATAGCATAATTTTTAAACTTTAAAGAATTAGCTTTATGATGCTTTAATTTGCATATAATTTTACTATTTAAATACTAACTATACAATAATTTTGTTTTTAGTTACTTGAATGTAAAATTATTATAATTTCATTCTTAGGCAGGATTTAAAAATATTAACCTAAAACTAATTTTTTCACTATACAATATTCAATAGAAAAGAAATTCTAAAATTCTTTTTGAAACAGAGACAAACTCATTACTCTTGCCTTAAATGTGTTTCTTTTTCTTCCAAATTTTCTATTTGTTTCAACATCCTTTCTTCTTGCTTTTTGCTATTCTAAGAAGATAATCAACAATGCTTATATTAATCATCTCTCTTCAACAAAAGTATAACTGAAATTAATATTTAAAACCTTCATCTGTCAGTATAAATTTTGTTTCACTACACAAAAAGAACATGAGTTGCTGTTTATTATATTTTTGTTGTCAACCTGACACAAGTTAGAGTATAGGGGAAGAAAGAACCTCAAAAGACTGCCTGCAACAGGTTGACCTGTGGGCAAGTCTGTGAGACATTTTCTTCACTGATGATTAATATGGGAGGGCCCAACCCACTAATGGTGGTGCCACTCCTAGGTTCTATAAAAAAAAAAAAAAAAGGCAGGTTATACAAACCCCAAGGAGCAAGAAAGTTATCCACTCCCCTCCATGGTCTCTGCTTTATTAGTTTCTGCCTAAAGGTTCCTGCCTTGAGTTCCCGCCCTGACTTCCATCATGATGGACTATGCCTGAGATACATAAGCCAAACAAACCTCCTTCCTCCCAACCCCAAACTACTTTTTGCAATAGGAAGCAAATTAATACAGTGAGCTATTTAAATTGTACAGTTCTGCTTTATAGACTTGCATTACCAGTATTCTAATAATACATAGCAGCTAATAAGTTTGATTTCCCAGTGGTACTTGGAAACTTGTATCCTTTATTCATAATGTTTCACTAATCATTACCTACTAAACTCATAATTCCTCTTTCAACAAAATTAATCTTGTCCTCCGACAACTACTCTTCCATAAAGGCAGAAATGAACTTCTGAACCTCATTAACACATTATATAACATCATCAACATATATAACATACTATTTTACTGAAGATATTTGAACACATATTATTTTTATATTAATTCACATGTTAAGAAAAATGACATTATTCATTATTATCTTTCATAGAAATCTATGACTAGATAGAATGATGCTAAATACAAACTGTTAATGCTTAAAATTAGATTAACTTCATATACTGGTAATCTCTATTTTCTGTTGCCTATTATTACTATATCAAAGAATAGTATGCAGCTTTTCTTTGAAAAAATACCAACTCTAAGATAATCCAAATTTCATGTAAAAGAATACTCAGAGATCATCTATTTTAAAGTCCCTCTAAATTTGAAGGTAAGAAAGCAAAGTCACTGATAACAGTCAACTCACAGTGATATCTTCTTGGTATTTCTTGAGTTCTAGGGCCATATCATTTGTTTCTTGTGTCAATTTATTGTTCTCAAGGGAAAGCTTGCCACAGCTAGCAGTTAATTCAGCATTCTTAAGTCTATTTTTAAAAAACATATACACAAATAATTAAATATGAAATATTAATTCATGTAAGACTTAATTCAAAATAATCTTAGGGGAAGAAAAGGCAGGATTTAAATAAGGTAATTTTGGTCATTAGTTCTTAAGCAAGGTTGTAATTTAATACTATCTACTTCATTACATTTGTTTGTTCAAATATATTTCAGTTGTTTCCATATTAATATTTCATTATGTCACATATTTTATTTCTTTGTGTATTCCCTACATACTCATTTTTCACAAAATATGAAGGACACATCATTTTCTTCACATAATTGTCTTTCTTCTGATAGTCTAGTTCAAACTTCTAAAGTTTTAATTAGAATAGCCTTGAAGCATGAACTATTTGTAATTAAAATGCAATTATTCTTACAAGGTCTCAAATTTTCCATTCCGGGGACTGGAGAGATGGCTCAGAGGTTAAGAGCACTAACTACTCTTCCAGAAGTCTTGAGTTCAATAACCAGCAACTACATGGTGGCTCATAACCATCTGTAATGAGATCTAGTGCCCTCGTCTGGCTTGTATGGATACATGTAGGCAGAAAGCTGTGTACATAATAAACAAATCTTTTTTTAAAAATTCCATACTGAAAGAGACATAATGTTGCTATTGGCTGAAGCTGCTACCAATATTAAATAAATGCAGTGTAGTGCCTGGTACCACCAAATGATTTCAGGAGCATCTACTGCCTCCTCCTATTTAATATTATTGGAAATTCAGTAGAAAAAGAGGGTTTTCCCCTAGGTAATCAGAGATTAAAGAGCAAGGACAACATAAATTAATACTAAAATATAAGTAACCACTCCATTCTTAAGTGGATTTTTAACAAAATGAATGTTACCTAGGTCTCCTGAAAAAAAAAACCGTTAAAAGAATATTAGAAGGAAGAAATAAAGCTATAAGAAAAGGACTAGGCTGTAGATTGACCTGGGACTTATGATGTAACTCAGGCTGGCCTCAAACTCACAGCAATCCTCCTTCCTCAGCCTCCCAAGTGTTAGGATTCCAGGCATGAGGCATTACACCTAATACTTTACTTACCATTTTTATCTATACCTGAGAAGCAATCAAAAGGGAAAAATAGTGTTTACTACTAACAGGCACTTGAATTTACTTCTTTCTCGGTGATAATTATTATCAAACTAAACTTACTGAAATCACTCCATTGAATACTTTATTTACGTATTATTCGAAATAAATTTATATTGAATTTTATCAACACAAACTTATGAAATAATTTATCAAGATAAAAAAACAAACCACAAATAATTTTCTTTATGGGAAACTAAATGCCTCCACAAAATTAATGTTAGACCGTCTGTATCTAGACATTCCATATTCATGAACTTATCCAACTAGAGATTCAGATTACTCAGGAAAATATGTCTGAACTGAGCATCTAGACTTCTTCCTTGTCATTATTTCCTAGATACAGTAAAACAAACATTTGAACAGCATTTACATTATATTCAGTACTGTAAGTAGTATAGTGGTAAGTTAAAACTTCTCTTGCTAGAAACTATGCACAGTCTATATGCAAATACTTTGCTGTTTGCATGTAGGACTTGACTACCTACAGATTTATGTATCTTCTGGGTTTTGGAACCAATGCTCATAAATGCAAAGAGATAACTATATACTGATATGAAGTATTTATTATTCTTTTATATAATTGATAAAAACTTTCTTCAGCAATAAAATATGTAAAACCATTCATTTTCTGACACAAGATCTTTCTACAAAGCCCAGCCATTGAATTCATAATTTTCTTGCATCAGTTTCAAGAGTGCAGAGATTTGTGCACTACCATGTCTGGCTTTCATTTTTATCTTTAATTAAGAATAAAACTAAATTTCAAATTCATTGAAATAAATAAACTATTTTATTGTAAAATTTAGGAATTAAACTATAGAATTATATGAAAAACATACTTCTCTTCTTCAAGCTTAGTTTTCAGTTCTTCAACCTGCTTTGAATAATTCTGATCACTTATTTTAGTGACAAGTAATTGTTCTTCTAAATCATGGACCTCTTTCTGCAAAACAAATGTATTTATGACAAATTATCTACCTTTTTTTCATGTAAAAGATATAATTAGGCTGGGCATAGTGATACAATCACCACACTTAGGAGGCAGAGAAGGCAGATCTTTGTAGGTTCAAAGCCAGCCAGGTCTACATAGTGAGCTAAAGGAAAGTCAGAGCTACAGAGTAAGACCTTGTCTCAAAATAGATAGATAGAGAGAGAGAGAGAGAGAGAGAGAGAGAGAGAGAGAGAGAGAGAGAGAGAGATAGATAGGAAAGAAATGGTTGCTGCAAGTAATCAATCACAGAGATCTGCCTATCTGCCAATGGAGAAATAGGAATAAAGTAGTGTGCCACTACACCTGGCTTAAAAATTTATATTAGTGAAGTCAGGAAGTAACTTCAAAAGAAGTTCCCACTTTTTTATAGGTCTGCAAATACACTTTAAATTTAAAGATAAGTTTAAATAAAATCACTATAAAGAGTATCATAAGAATCCAGCTTAGCCAGGCAGTGGTGGTGCAGCCTTTAGTCCCAGCACTTGGGAAGCAGAGGCAGGTGGATCTCTGTGAGTTCAAGACCAGTTTGGTTTACAAGAGCTAGTTCCAGGAAAGCCTCCAAAGCCACTGAGAAACCCTGTCTCAACCCCCCCACAAAAGAATCCAGCTTAATGGGGGCTAGAGAAATGGCTCAGCTGTTAAAAGCACTAACTGGATGGCCACTCTTCCAGAGCTCCTCAATTCAATTCCTAGCAACCATCTGTAATGAGATCTAGTGCCCTCTTCTAGTATGGATGAAAACAAAGCACCCATAAAAGGAATCCAGCTTAATAAGGGCTAAATTAAAATGCATCAAGAAATATTGAAAACATCAAGAAACAGAATTATTATAAACCATAGCATGCATAAACTAGATTCTTAAATGTTGACCTTTCTCTCCCACATTATAATATGAAGGCTCCTTATTTTAAATCAATAATTAATATGTTAAATATAACAGAAACATGTACTTTTAAAAAGAAATTTGTGAAGAAATCCTTCAGAAAACAAATTACTACATCATAATCTATTTTATAAATCTATATTCTTAACAAAACATTGGAAACAAATATATCCTTAACAAACCTCTCTGGTTTGCAAAAGGAGAGTTAGTTCTTGTTCTTTCCCTTGTAATTCTTCAGCAAGCTTCTCAACTTGTTTCTTTTCATCTAAAAGTTTTTGGTCTTCTGCCTATTTAAAAACAGTAGAGAAAAAAAGAAGCATAGCTGTCAAACTTCATACACATAGAAAATAATTAAACTTCCCAAAGAGTAAAAGAAAGAACTATAGTGTATTTCCTTGGCTAAAATTGTTTAAACAGAGACAACCAAGCCAGGTGTGGTGGCACACACCTTTGATTCCAGCACTAGGGAGGAAGAGACAGGCAGATTTCTGCCAGGCTGGTCTACAAAGTCAGTTCCAGGACAGCCAGGGATGTTACACAAAGAAATACTGTTTCAAAAAAAAAAAAAAGACAAAAAATTTAATGGGCAGAGCCATAAAATAAAAGAAATAAATTGTTTGTTTAAAAACTCAGAGTTTTGCCGGGCGTTGGTGGCGCACACCTTTAATCCCAGCACTCGGGAGGCAGAGGCAGGCGGATCTCTGTGAGTTCGAGGCCCGGCTGGACCGACAGCCTCCAAAACAGAGAAACCCTGTTTCATAAAACCAAAAAAAAAAAAAAAAAAAAAAACCTCAGAGTTTTTATGGTAAAACAGTGAGTTAGAAATGACCTCCATACGACAGGATAAATGAGAAAGGTGAGGCTAACAGAAGTCAGGCTCTGTTCCAAGGAAGGTATAATTGGGAGGGCAAGGGAAATCACAAAGGAGATGACAAGATGACTAAAAAACACAAGAAAACAGAAAGACTAAGCAGCAAACAGAAATGGGCAATCACTGCTCCAGCTGAGTCTCCAACACTAAAAGAAGAAACAAAAGCTTCATCCAAAAGGTAAGTCAGACGGCCCTGGAGAAAGAAACTGCCAGTCTTTCACACAGAGCAAGTCCACAATACTTGCTAAGACATGGATCCAGTTTTAAATCTGATAAGACTATGACTATGAAGAAGAGGGCCATTTTGTCACTTCTCTTATATCAGACGGCTGTCCCTGGGTGCCATCTTGAGAATTAGATTATTGATTGAGACTAAAACTACTTACTCTAGGAGTCTGAAAACAAGGCAAAATAACAATCCAAAATTCAGGCAATAGCTTGCCCACAGCTCTTAGGTGTGAGACAACAGTCATGCAGGACTCCTAATACAATTTTAAGAAATTCAGACATTTTAAGAAGTTCAGGGGAGCTAGGGGGTCAAGCAATGAAGCGCACAATAGGATGTAAAAAAAAGAATCCTATTACTTGAGGATAACATAGAAATTGATAACTTGAGTCTGAAGTTAGTGAATGGCTGAACTTTTGGAGCCACCTACCTATTAGTGGTTCATTATTAAGACTAATAACGCTGAAGCTCAATTGAGGTGATCTGACTGTTCTTTTATCTGACCTTTCAATTTCCACAGCCACCTCCCTCCTACATGGTATTTTACTGTGTAGGATTGAAAACACTGAGACTGATCCTATAGTACAGATAACAATGATACATTTGCTTCAGATACTCTCCAATGCACTCAAGAGATACCCCATTTATTAGACTACAGTTTGTACAAACAACTGTCGAGAGTCCTCTAAAACATTTAGAAACTGCCCTACCCACAAAGCTGCAAAGCTAAGTCTGGCCAGCAGATTCTTGATATATAAAGAAGGAAAATTCCTAAAATGAAGGCAATTCTACTATACATATGACCCTAAGCAGAGTCCAGGCTCGGGACCAGTCTAAGCATTAGAAAAGACAAAAGACTCTAATATCAACTGACAAACTAATCTACCTAGAAGAATCCAGCATTAAAAACCTGGAGTAAATTCAATTGACTATTTTATCTTTTGTTTTAGGTTTTTTTTTTTTTGAGTTGAAGATATTTGAAATTTATCTCTATCAGACAGAAGTTAGGTGTTTTGTTTGGGTTTCCGGGTGTTTGTTGTTTTGTTCACTGTGTTTCTCTTTTCTTCTTTCTTTCTACTATACTATAAATATTTCAAAGCATACTTTTAAAAATGTAAGATATGCCTTTAAAACCTTTTGTTTTGCCAGGTGGTAATGGTGGCACATGCCTTTAATACCAGCACTCTGGAGGTAGAAGCAGATGACTATCTCCTCACTCAAGGTCAGCTGGTCTACAAAGTGAGTTCTAGGATAGCCTGGGCTGTTACACAAAGAAGCCTTGTCTCAACAAAGCAAAAAAATTTTTGTTTTTACTTTTTATTCCTCTTACATTCATCAATGTTTTGCCACATTTTTCTTTATTGTGCAATTAGATTTTAATACATCTTTTCTCCACCATTTCCTAACATTTCTCATATCTTTTTCTGTTCTTTTAATCTTGCTCCTTTTTCACCCTTAATTCCCATCCTTTATTCCATGTATTTATTATTTATTATTTTTATTGCTACCCTAATTATATTTAATTTTATACCTAACTCTATGTTACTTTTGCTATTTTATATTCTATGACCCGATGGGGGATGTCCTTCTGTATCCTGTGAATATATGTTTTTCTTATTGGTTGTTGAATAAAGCTATTTCGGGCCAATGGACAGGCAGGATGTAGCCAGACAGGAAGTATAGGCAGGGCTATCAGATGAGGAGAATGCTGGGAAGAAGAACACAGAGCTGTGAGGGAAACTCCATGTAGTTATCAGGAAGATAGGACGCCTGGACATTCTTCAGTAAGCCAAGACTATGTAGAGATACATAGATTAATATAAATGGGTTAATAATTTAGAGAGCTAGCCAATAAGAAGCCTGGGCCATCCACCAAACACTTAATAATTAATATTAGCCTCTGTGTGTTTATTTGGGATTAAATGGCTGCAGGACCAGGCAGGACAGACACTTCCATCTGCAATGGCCACTAGTAGAACTGATTGGCTTTAATACATTTTAAGTGTATTTTCTTATCTAGTTAGGTAAGGTATTACAGCTGTTATACCAATTTGTTTTTCCCATTCTCCATACAGTACTGAGCCCTCAAAATAAAACTGCTCACTAAGAGGATCCCCAAATAAAATAACTGTATCAACAAACGTACAAGTGATAACACTGATGGGGGATGTCTTTCTGTATGCTATGAATATATGTTTCTCTTATTGGTTGATGAATAAATGCTGATTAGTCAGTAGCCAGGCAGGAAGTATAGGCGGGGCAACCAGACTAGGAGAATGCTGTGAAGAGGAAGAAACAGGAGTCAATGAGGAAATGCCAGATAGGACCCTGAACATTTTCCAGTAAGCCAAGACCACATGGAAATACATAGATTAATAGAAATGGGTTAACAATTAAGGCAGAGCTAGCCTAAGCCAGGCAGTGGTAGTGCAAGCCTTTAACCCCAGTACTTGGGAGGCAGAGGCAGGCAGATCTCTGTGAATTCAAGACCAGCCTATCTACAAGAGCTAGTTCTAGGTAGGAAAGGTTCCAAAGGTACACAGAGAAACCCTATCTTGAAAAACCAACAGAGAGAGAGAGAGAGAGAGAGAGAGAGAGAGAGGGAGGGAGGGAGGGAGGGAGGGAGGGAGGGAGGGAGGAAGGGAGGGAGGGGGGAGGGAGAGGAAGAGGGAGAGAGAGAGAGAGGGAGAGGGAGAGGAGAGGGAGAGAGAACATTTTATGATTAATGTAACCTTCTACATATTTATTTGGGACCAAATGGCTGCAGGACCAGGTGGGAAAGAAATCTGTCTTCATAATACACAAACTTAATCACAAAAATCAAGGCAATATGACACATTACAAGGGATCATAACTAATCTTTTACTAAAACCAAATAGCTGAAACTGAATTGGTTGGTTGGTATTATGATTCAGTAGGTAATGACATTTGCCACCAAACCTGATTTGGATCCCTGGAGCCCACATGGTGAAGGAAAGAACCTACTTCTATTAGTTGTTCTCTGATTTCTACACATATGCCATCAAATGAACACACACACACACACACACACACACACACACACACACACACACAAGATCAACCAACCATTCAATTAACCAATTTTAAAGTGGTTAAAATGCCAGAAAAAGAATTCAAAAGTCTACTTGTAAAATAACCAGTGATTTCAAAGAAGACACAAGCAATGTGGAAATAGTATAGAATACTTTACAGCACCTACGTGGAGGCTCACAAAAGTCTGTAACTGAAGTTCCAGGAAATCAATTGGATGCCTTCTCCTGGCCTCTGCAGGCACTAGGCATGCATGTGGAACACATACATACATGCAAATATTCACACATTCACATAAAAATGAGTATCTTTAAAAAGTTGAAGGACAAACAAATTTATCATGATAAAAACAAATTAATTTATTACCACTAAGCCATCTCTACAGAGGATACTGGAAGGAATATTTTTGACAGAAAAGAAAGATTAAACACACTCACAGAAGATAAATAAGACATAAATGGGGAGTGGAGATGGGGAAATTAAGAAGGGACAGAAGGCTTAACCAAAATGAATGGTTTATGAAAAGCTTTATGGAAGCCTATAATAATCTTCCAGCTCAAGAAACTTATTTTAATTAGAAGATATAGAAAAATACAGGTGACATAAAAGGAGATCAGGGGAATTCTCAAGGGAATAGGGAGACTGGGGAAAGGAGAAGTTAGGGGGTTCATAAGCCAAAACTAAAGATATACAAACAGGTCTTATAGAAATCTGATAGTTTATATGCTGATTTAAATACAGTATATACAAAATACAGGAGTTTGAACAGAAGTATCCTGCATTGATGAACAATAATACTCTCAATTTGGGTTACTAAATGAAAACCTCAGTGCCAGGCAAGGGAAGCTCTAAAGTACATGAAACAAGACAGACTATTGCCAAGCCTCTTGACTGTTCAACATAACCAAATGGTAAAACCCTATTGCTAAAGAAAACATTCACTTTGGATGCAGAACATAGAAAAATAAAACCTAACTTTCCAGGAAATTCTCTCCCTCCTGCAAATTTATATAGTGCCAGAATGTGTTATACAGTTCCTAGGTGAAAAAGAGATTAACGGTCTCTCCCAGCACTGAATCCTGTATACTAAAATACTGACCTGCCTACCAAGATGTGTCTACAACTATTATGGGGACAACCAACCACTTTCTGATTAGGTATGAGGCCTTCTCCAAAGAAGGATTTCATGCCTGGTGTGGAAAAACCCATGATTAAGGGTATGATAGCCCCAAATAGAGAACTTATTGTTTTGCTATCAAAATGCCCTCTACATATTTCTATTTATATTCATTTTATTAAAAACACATGGACCTCCAGGCATTGGTGGCACACGCCTTTAATCCCAGCACTCAGGAGGCAGAGGCAGGCTGATCTCAGTGAGTTCGAGGCTAGCCTGGTCTACAGAGCGAGTTTCAGGACAGCCTTCAAAACAATACAGAGAAACCTTGTCTCGAAAAACCAAAACCAAAAAAAAGAAAAAAAGAAAAAAAGAAAAAAAGAAAAGGACCAGATAATTGGATTAAAAAAGTTTCCAATTGTTTGCTCTCTGCAAGAAGCATACTTAACTAGAAAAGATAAGTATGAAAAAAAATGTAAGGTGACATATTAAGCAAGTAGAAAACTGAAAACAAGAAGGGGAGCCATACTAGTATCTGAAAAATCAGACTAAAAAAGAGATGAACTAGATCACTACAAACTAATAAAGGTGACAATACAAGAAGATAAAATGATTGGAAATAAACATGCATCAAACATTGGCATACACAATTTCATAAACCAAAATCTACTGGACACAAATGGGCAGACAGGTCAAGATAAAGTAGTACTAAGTGACTGTAATACCCAATTCCATGAGTAAATATATCATCCAGACCAGAAAAAGAAATAAAACTTCATAATTAACTGCATTATAGATCAAATGTTAATATACATTTACAGAATATCCCACCTAATGGCTATTGAATGGATATACATTCTTCTCAGCAGCCCACAGATTCTTCTATACAATAAATCATCTTATAAATCCAATATTACCCTATTAAGACTTGATGAGGAGAAACAAAAAAGAATACTAAAGGCCAAAATATTTAATAAGTAAAAGTTCAAAACTTCAATAAAATACTGATAAATCAAATTTATACAAGTTAAGGGGCTCATGCACCAAAACTGAATTGGTTTCTTTCCAGGAACACAAGAATGGTTCAACATATGTAAATCAATAAGTAATATAACACATAAAAAGAGTCAAGGATAAAAATCACATGATCATTCCAATAGATACAGAAAAGCCTTTGATAAAATTAAACATTCATTCATGATAACATCACTGAATAAATTAGGTATAAAGGAATAATGCCTCAGTGTAGCAAACCTGCATTAGACAAACCCACAGCCAATATCACTGTGAAAAAAGAAAAACTGAAAATATTTTCAATAAAATCTAGAAGAGAAGTGTGTCTACTGTTCACTAGACCTTTATGGTACAACATAATAATGTATATTTGCTCTTATTTTAAGTGTGCTATCAACATTTTTAAATAATATAAACATCCTGCCCTATAAAAATAGATACAGACAAGATTGAAGCTTTACTCAAAAGCAAATGTAAAATTTTTATATTTTAGCAGAAAAATTAGTATGAAATATTTATAGTTTAAAAATACAGGCCAGTAATTTCAAAATTACTTTAGAGTAATGACTGGAAAGTAATAAGAAAAAAATATGTACTTACCAATATTTTTTTCAATTCTTCAAGCTTCACTTCATTGTTATTTTTAAATTTAGTCATCTCGTCTGAAATAAAATGAAATGTATTAATAGCTGGATTAAAAGATAGGAAAGAAATAAGAATGCCATTTAAAAGAAGAATCAACTCATATCTGGTACAGACCCCAGAATATTCGGCCTAGGAACAAACTACTATTATGTTGATAAACGTACACCCCTAAAAAGAGATAGATTAAACACAAAGGAAGCTTACAGGGAGTCTAAAACAACTATGCAAAAGTAATAATGGATCAATACTAACAATTGTGTTTCTAGGTTAACTCATAGCCAAATGGGTCCAAAGTTCATAAAGCAAAATAAGCAATGTATCTACATAAAATAATTTTGAATGGTTTCAGTGTGTACCTTTACTTTCAACTCATTACTACCTTTTAAATCTATCTAGCTTCTCTCCAAATTTAAAAGAACTGATGTTCTCTCAAGCTAGTTCTCATCATTTTTCTTTGAATTTCAACATCCCCACTTCTTCTGTGACTTTATCTGCTCTAAAACATACCAACTCTGTGCAAGAAATCCTTATTTTATCCTATACCACCAAGTACCATATGAATATAAAAACAAAGATATCTGATTAACCTCTCTGTTCTGTCAAGTTACTATTTCTCATATTATCTTTCAAATCCCTGCCTGCTAACTACACATTTCTTTAACTCATATAAAACAAATACCTTTCTCCATGATGTTAGTAAAATTATGATCTCAAAAACCAACAATAAGCACTTTCTAATGCCTTTTTCAGTCTTATTTATTGTGTAGCGGGATCATATTTGATACAATTGAACACACTCTTATTGTTTTTCCCCCTTCAAGTACCAAGACCTTGCATTATTCATATTTCCTCTCTAACTCCTATTCCTACTGCTTTATAGTGTTTATCTTTTCTTCTATGAATTCAATATTAAAAATATCTTTTCAGCTCAACAGTCCCACTTTTTTCTTTTTCCATTTTTAACTTCCTACAGTCTCCTAATAATTTCCAGCTGTCACCTAAATTGTATCTGACATTTTTGTTCATTGTTAAAAAGTTTTAATTATTGGAAATATAGCAGAAGTGCTGAATGTTTCTCAGACTTCTCTGTTTAAAAAAAAAATACTTGTAATAGCTTCCCCCAAATCAACAAAACACGAAATGTCAATATAGAGGCTAAAGGAGAAACGTCACATGAAAAGTTTATTTAACCGAAAATTTCACTTTAGGTAAAATATATCTTATTGTTTTACTTTGAGGACTAGCTGAAGAAAATGATCTGAACATGACTCTACCCTATTACCTCAATTTCATATAATTAGAAAAAAAGGCACAAAAAGAAATAGAAAAGTTATATACACATCATCAAGATTACCAAAAAAAAAAAGAACTAAAGAAAGAAGAAAATAAAGAATACCTGAAAAGATTTCTGGCTTTGAAAACTTTATTACTAATCCAAGAATAGAATAATGTTGCGTCCTTATGTAATTTTTAATTTGCACTCCCATACATAGTATTTTCAACACTCTATCATCCTCTACAACTATCCAAAGCCTCTCTACACTTTAAAATCTATCCTTAATATTTAACATTAACATTCAATAAGAAAGCTAAGCATGTGTGTGTGCGCACACATGCACACACACCATGAAACTAGAAACAAGATTAGTTGGGAAGAGTAAAATGACTATCAGGAATGAAGGGGAACAAGCAAAGGTAAATACAATCAAATATATAAAAAATATAAATATGCATTTATGTTTTATACAAAGCTGTGATATAAATATGCATTATGTTAGTCATTATAAATATAACAAAAATGGAAGTTCTCATATTTTCACTTCTTACTCTAACATAACATTTTTGCTTACCCCCATCCCATTCTGGATACTATTACCCTACTGGTTTTATGTGTTTAACCTTTCACAGTAACTAAAGATTTTTCAAAAACATGGTATTTTACTTTCATGTTCCCACAAACACATAGCACTGCTTCACAGTTCTCAAATTCCTTATCCAAACTTCTCATAATACTTTGGTATGAGAAAATACTGAAACTAAAACGTGATATCTAATAGCTACTTAATGGTAAACTGAATTGTCACAAATTCACACTAAAGATAGTTTAATTACTAAAATTACCCCATAATCTACAACATTCAACAATCCTAAAGAAAGTCAGTAAGTACAATGATTTAAAAATAACTCTTTATGTTCTTAAGGAATTTTTTAATTAGATAAGAAGTTTGTCTTTAACCATTTTGGTTCTAGCTGGTTGGTTGGCTGGTTGGTTGTTTTTTGAGACAGGCTCTCTCTACCATAGCCCTGGCTATCCTGGAACTCACTATGTAGACCAGGCTAGTTTGAACTCACAGAGGTTCAGCTGCCTCTCTCTGCCTCTCAAATGTTGGGATTAAAAGTATGTGCCACCATACCTGGCTGTTTTTAACAATTATACTAAAAAGTAAAATTATGAATAAGATTATTTGGAGCTTACAATAAAATCAATTATTCTACAGTGGAAAATTAAGCATTGCAAAAAGAACGGCATAAATATGATTGCAGAGATTGGCCTGCCTCTGCCTCCCTAGTGCTGGGATTAAAGGTGTGCACCACCAATGTCCAGCCAATCAAAATTTATGATGCATGAAAATATCGTGCTAGTTACATATAATTAATATATGCTTATAAAAATATTTTTCAGTGGTCTACAAAGTGAGTTCCAGGACAACCTCCACAGCAATACAGAAATACCCTATCTCGCAAAACCAAAAAAAAAAAAGAAAAAGTATGGTCGTTGGTGGTACGTCTCAGAAAGAAACACAACCAAAGAGATGAACTACTTATAAAATATTAAGCAAGTATTTCAAATACTAGACAACATTAATTGTAATTATTTTAGTTGTACAAGTGATTCAACTAAAAATATAAATATTCAGTATAATAGTAAAGCTTATAGAAAATTATAAAAATAATCTAAACAAATACCTGTCAATTCAGGACAGGTATTTTAATCTACTAAAAATACTTTTTAACTGAAATTGGGAAAAAACTTGTTTTTTAGTTGTCAATACTTGCAGATAGTCAGGCTAAAGTTATAAAACACACACAGTTAGCTAACTGCATGATCATAAATTCATAAAATTATATTGTTTTGCCTGTATGATTTCTTGAATATTAACAATACTATATGATAATGTAGAATTTTTTCCTAAAAATATTTCATAATCAAATACACTAAGCAATGAAGTCTACAAAATTCAGACATGAGCCAGGTATGATGGTGCACATTTGTAATCTCAGCATTTGGGAAGTCGAGGCAGGAAGACTCTTGCAAGTTCAGAGCTACATATCAATACTCTCAAGAAACAAACAAACAAACAAACAAATAAATCTAGGCAGCGGTACATTCTTGTTATCCAAGCATTCATGAGGCTGGGGCAAAAGGATCAAAAATAGAAAACCAGTTGGAACTATGAAGTATGATCCTGCCTCAAAAACTGTTTCTTCAATTGAAATGTAAGACATTCCCTTAAAGTGTATTTATGTCTTCAATCCTAAAATAAGAAGAATAAAACACCTCAGGTTTCTAGACAGTGATAAACTGCATAAAGAGATTTAAGTCTTCCTAAAATATAAGTATTCTGCCAGGTGTTGGTGGTGCATGTCTGTATTTCCAGCACTTGGGAAGGCAGAGGCAGGAAGATATCTATTAGTTCGAGGCCAGCCTGGTCTACAAAGCTACATAGAGAAACCCTGTCTTGAAAAAACATATACATATATATTTTTTTCTATATTCAATTATTATTTTTCCCTAATTTTTATATTTACTTTTATTTTATGTGCATGAGTATTTTATTTCACATAAAAGCATCATATAGGGAAACCAAACCCAGGTCCTCTGCAAGAGCAGTAAATGCTTTTAACTGCTTGTTAACAACAAATTAAACAAAAGCCCCAATTTTGTTTTATAATTAGTTATCAATATGTTATCAAAGTACACTATTGTCTAAGTCTTACCCAGTTCATTTGATTTCTTCTGCAGCTCCATGGTAAGTATTTTCAGTTGATCTTCATTTTTTACCAATCTTACAAGACATATTAAAGTTTAAATTATTATTTAGTCAGAATTCATCTAATAACTAAAACAGGCACAATGTAACAACTGATACATCTGTTTTATTCAGTTATTAGACATTATTGAATATTATTGATTATCAAATATTAAAATTATAATAAATATTAAATTATGTAATAATTTAATTATATGATAAGTATATCTACCTAAAACCTTGAGGCTTATAATTTGTATCTTAACCATAGGGCAGAGATGGAACATGCCTTTAATCCCAGCACTTGGGAGGCAGAGGGAGGTGGATCTCTGTGATTTCAAGGCCAGCTTGGTCTAGAGTTCCAGAGCAGCCAGGGCTACATGGAGAAACCCTGTCTCAAAAAAACAAAAGCAAAATTTTAAAAAGATATCTTAACTATTGACAATAAGCAAATTTATGCATTAGTGGATATGTATTTAAATGCATATCTATTATAATAAATTCTTTATTTAAAAATACAAATAAAAGATTATACATCATTTTATTGGTTTCTCTGATCTTCCATTTTCTTAAACCATTAAACTAAGGTAACTGGGGCTGGAGAGATGGCTCAACGGTTAAGAGCACTGGTTCCTCTTCCAGAGGACCAGGGTTCAATTCCTAGCACCCACATGGCAGCTCACAACTGTCTGAAATTCCAGTTCCAATGGATCTGATACCTTCACACCAATGCACATAAAATAAATTATATATATATATATATACACATACATATACATATATATATATATATATATATATATATATATATAAACTAAGGTAACTGCTGGGCCAGTGAAATGGTTCAGCAGATAAGAGGGCTTGCAACCAAGCCTACCAACCTAAATTCAATGCCTAGAAGAGAACCTACTCCTACATATTGTCCTCTGATCTCCACACACAGGTATACATAATATATATGTAGAAAATTTCAGACTGGAAAGATGGCTCAGTGTTTTAAGAACACTTGCTGCTCTTCCAGAGAACCAAAGTTTAATTCCTAGTACCCCACAAGGGCTCACAACTCTTTACCTCCTGTTCAGGGGATCTAATGCCCTCTTCTGGCCCCTCTAAGCACTGCGTGCATGTGATACACAGACATACATGCAGGCAAAACACCCATATACATACAAATTTTTTAAAAATTAATGTAGTAAATAAAAAACTTACTAAGGTAATTGGAACAGATGATTCTATAATAATTCACAATTTTACTATGTGAAAACTGCCTTGACAGGTTAATCAGAAATATAATAGAAGAGTTAGAAAAGCAACATTTTCTCATTACTATGTACAGTAGTGAAAAAAATTAAGTAGAACCAGGATATGAATTGGGAGAAAAATTCATCCCTCTCCTTTACTCTGCCAAATTTAATTAAGCACTGTGCTAACAAAATAATTACCTAGGACAAAAATAATTATCTAGGCCTCAATATATTTTTATATAAAAATCACATAAGTGAAGAAAAAAAGCTATCCAATATTCTAATTTTAAATAAAATGCTAGTTAGTGTTAAAAGCAAATGAGAATTTATCTCATATGGAGTAATATTTCCTCTATCCCAAGAGAGTTACTAAGTTCATACATAATAAGTAAGGTTACAGACTTCAGTTAAAAAAAACTCTTCATCTAGATATTATTCCTATGAAGATAATTCACATGCAGTGGTTCTCAACATGTAGGTCAAACCCCCTGTGACAGCCCTCTTGCTCCAAAAATGTTATTACTACAATTCATAACTTTAGAAAAATTATAGTATGAAGTAACAACAAAAATAAATTTATGGTTGGGGTTCAAGAAAACGTGAGGAACTGTATTAAAGGGTCACAGCATTAGCAAGTTTAAGAACCACTGATCCACACTATTAATAAGTATGTTCTACTACTCCATCAACACTTAAGGGACTTCTCTACTCTATATAGCTTGACCCCATTGCAAAGTATGCATGGGAAAAATTCAGGAAAATACCTGATTTTAAATGGTACTGAATATTAAAAGTAAACCATTTTTATGTCTTCACTTTTTTTGTTGTTTTGGCTTTTTTTTGTTTGTTTGTTTGTTGTTTTTTTTTTTTTGAGACGGGGTTTCTCTGTGGCTTTAGAGGCTGTCCTAGAACTCACTCTTGTAGACCAGGCTGGTCTCAAACTCACAGAGATCTATCTGCCTGCCTCTGCCTCCTGAGTGCTGGGATTAAAGGTGTGTGCCACCATGGCCCGCTCACTTATTTTTTTAAAATAAGAAATGTTTCACCTTTGCTGTTCTGTTCTCAGTAATTCCTCCAAGGTGCATGTAGTAGCTTTAAGTTCAGTAACCACAAATGAGTGATCAGTTTTAGCTTTGTTAAATTCTTCCATTTGAGCTTCTTTTTCTTCAGTGAGCTGATAAATTGTTTTTGTTGCAATCTGCAAATCTTCTTCTAAAGCCTTCTGAGTGTTCTAAGTGAAATAACGCATAAAGCAGAAAGAAAAATGCAAAGGCCTAACATGTTTAAAAGGCTTAAGTCATCTGCTTCTATAAATTTGGCTGCCCTTTTGCCCTCCATACTTCTTCCCTTTCCATCGTCCCTTCTTGGCATAGTGGAATAATCCACCCATTATCAAATTTCAAATCAACATTATCTATTCTTCTGATCCCTCCACAGAGTTTTCCCAGACAGGTTAGCCCACACAGTTCTCTCCATTCTTAGAACTGTTGTTAACAATTTATGAGCCTAAGTCACTCACTCTATTGGTACTTAGGTATATTCATCCAATGTCTTTTATTAGAAGCATTTTTAGAGTAGGATTGTGTCTTCTCTATTCGAATCTCTAAGTCATTATATATTTTAGTCATATCCAATAAAAATGTTAACTGATTATGTAATCCACACTATACACTAGTTAGAAGTATCATACCATACTTCTTTGCAATGACATTTTAGTATCTTCAAGTTCTGATGTTAAATGATCCTTCTTTTTATTTAATTCTTTGACGTTTTCATCTTGTAATTCTAAAAGATAAAATTATAGATAGGCATTGTTTGATAGAAAATGGCTTCAAGGAAACTAATTACTATACCAATTACTCTTTTTTCCTCTATTAGAAAACAGTCCAAAATAAGAACAAGGCAAATAAACACACTACACTTGATAAGATTATTTTTCCCAAAAACTCAAAAATGAACATTTATAATCATTTTCAGTATCTTCATTTATAATCAGAATAAAAGAGACATATTACCCAGCTTCAGCAGGAAGATTAACAGACTTATTTTTTTTTGTTTGTAACTGCTGTCAAGGAGTCAAACTTGTATATATAATATCCTATTATTTTATTTGCTATTATAAATATGTTTTGGAGTCAGGTATAGTGAATGCAATACCAGGTACTTGGGAGGCTTGAGGGAGAAAGATTAGAAGTTGGAGGCAAACCTAGGCAATTTGCCAAGCTCATATCTAAAAAAATTTTTTTAATTACAAAAACTAAGTAACTTAATTATCCCATGCTCCTCCTTCTCAAAAACAAAAAATTTTAAAATAAAAATCATTTTGTCCATTGTGGGGGATACTAATGCTCTGTTAGGTTATAAATATCACAACTAATAAATAGTATGCAAAACCTGAGCCTCTGGTGATCTTCAAAGATATAGTTTGAGATTTTTGAAGTTTTTTTTTTTTTTTTTTTTTTTTGGTTTTTCGAGACAGGGTTTCTCTGTGGCTTTGGAGGCTGTCCTGGAACTAGCTCTTGTAGACCAGGCTGGCCTCGAACTCACAGAGATCCACCTGCCTCTGCCTCCTGAGTGCTGGGATTAAAGGCGTGCACCACCAACGCTCGGCGAGATTTTTGAAGTTTTAAAGGAATTTTTTTTTCTTATTATAATGTAAGATACAGTCAATTCCCTATGATGGTTTCATTAAAGATTGATATTTAAACCTAAAATACTAAATAAAATGTTAAATGTTTTTGTTTTTTGGTTTTGTTTTTTTTTTTTTGGTTTGGTTTTTCTGGACAGGGTTTCTCTGTGTAACAGCCCTAGCTGTCCTGGATTTAGCTCTATAGACCAGGCTGGCCTCGAACTGACAGAGATCCAATTGCCTCTGTCTCCCAAGTGCTGGGATTAAAAGCATGTTCTACCACCACCCGGTTCTAAATATATATTTTTTTACATAAATATGTATATAGCACCTGGTATTTCCGGGCAGTCCAAGTACTAACCAGGCCCACTTCTGAGATCAAGCATGTTCAGAGTAGTATGGCCATAGACTAAATATGTATTTTTTAAGGGCTATATTTTTCAGTTTTGTTCTCTGTTCTGGATTTGGTTTTGGTGGTGATGATGGGGTTTTTTGTTGTTGTTTTGTTTTGTTTTTGTTTTTAGGGTAGATTACTGAATCTACTCTTGAAAAGAAAAAAGTGAGGATATAGATATAAAAATTATTGAATCTACTTCTAAACAGTAAATGTAATGAAATGAAAAGGTAGATTATTGACTCTACTTTTAAAAAGCAACTACTAGTTTTAATATTTTACATTGGATTGGACTTCTGAGTATTGTATACAAATATTATATATTGACACAAATTTGAGATTGATTTGTTAAAACATATTGTATATATGTCTCTAATTTACTTAAGGGTATTGTACCTATAGAGCCCATTTATCAATGTAATATAAATTTCTAGTGTTTGAAAGTTATTATTACCAACTATGTAAGATAATAAGGAAATGTAGGTGATTAATTAGTCATCTATTACAATTTTACTTGTAATCATAGTAGGCATGTTTTCAAAGTTAAACAGATATATTTTAGAGAGGCAGGGTACCACCTTCAAATACTTTAGAAATCTACAGAATATGGCATTTAAAGTGTTTTAATAATATAGGGAATTTTATGACAATAAAACATGTCTGCTCCTGGCAGCACCAATTTACTTAAGATGGCATCAAAAAAAAACCTCACAAGGAGTTTACTTTGTAACAAAGGTAAGCCGCTGGACAAGAACATACACTTGCCTTGACTGTCCAAACTGGACAAACAGGACACAAAAGAGAGTGATTGAAAAACCTTGCCAAAACAAGGTGCAGCAGCCCTTTAGAAAATCTTGCTTCACAGAATAGTCTGTCAGAGATGCTAGCCCTATTGGCCAAAGATGGATGCTCCAACATTGAAGAGGAACCAGGCAGCCAGCTGTTTTTATCATTTCTCACAGTTTTTGGAAGTCAATAGCTTGCACTTCCTGTTAAATCAGTTAATATTATTCCTTCTCGGGTCTCTGAAGAAGTTGAAGACTAATTACAATTATAATTTTTGTTGTTTACCAGACTCAGAAAAGAAATTCACTAAAGATATGTAAAGCATAAAAGGTTGAGAGGCATTAAAAGATAATTTGTTAATGCAAATTAGGATAGGAATTAGGTACAAGACTTTGAACTCAACGAGATAGAATAATGAAATATTTTCTCTGAATCTGTCAAATGCAAATAGACTAGACATTTTCTCTTAATTTGTCAAATGCAAACGGACTAGACATTGTTGACAAACTTATTGCCAGTATATATTGTATACATTTGTTGTACTTATTGTATATAGTTTTTCTTATGTTAGTTGTAGTCTTCTTTTTGTATTAGACAAAAAAGGGGAATTGTAGTGATACATTCATTAAAGCTTGCCTGAGTAAAGCAAAGTCAGCCACAAGCCAAAGAAACCAGCACACACCTTTAATCCCAGCAGCCAGAAGCTAGGAGGTGGTGGTGCACACCTTTAACCCTAGGACTCAGGATTAAGAGGTAGACAGATCTCTCTGATTTCAAGGTCACCCAGGGATACAGGAGATCGAATCAGTATATCACATGCCTTCAATTCCAGCACTACAGGGGTATAAAAGATAGAAGTAGGGTCTGCAGTGTTCAGTGGGAGTCATTCATTCTCCAGTCACACTGAAGATAGGAGAGATTCATTCTCCAGCCACCTTGAGGACAGGAAGACATTGAAGTCTCAGGATTCTCCAGCCATGCTGAGATGCATCAGGATCAGCATATTTGGTAGTAGTGGCCTACTACTTTGCTTTTCTGACTATCAGTTTGAAGTTTGAAACCCAGTATCAGTCTCTGGGTCATTTATTTCTCATGTTACAGTTTTATTTGTTTTGATTTTGGAGATAGGGTCTTACCATGTATCTCCTAGTTACCTGAAACTCATCTTATATTTCAGGGTAGCCTGAAAATTATGTAACCCAGACTAGCATTGCACTTGCCATTCTCTTACCCGTGTCTCTTGAAGGATTATAGACATATGCTATGGGATAATCCTTCTGTACGCTATGAATATGTATTACTCTCATTGGTTAATAATAAAGCTGATTTGGCCTATAGCAAGGCAGAATAAGGTTAGGTGGGAGAGCCAAAGAATGCTGGGAAGGAGGAGGGCAGAGTCAGAGAGTCGCTGGCAGATGCAGAGGGAGCAGGAGATGTACGTGCCAAATAAAAAAAGGTACCAACACATGGCATCAGGTAATATGGCCTGAGCTATTGGCCAAGCATTTATAAGTAATATTAAGCCTCTGATTGTTATTTGGGACCTGGTAATTGGGACAAGAAACATCCACTTACATATGTCCAATCATTTCTATATCATATCCCCCCTTTTTTTCTTTAGAAAGAGATCTTTTATTTTCTTTATTTTTTTTTTATTTTTTTAAGACACTGTGTCTCTGTGTAGCTTTGGAGTCTAGCACTCTCCTATAGACCAGGCTTGCCTCTAACTCACAGAGATCCACCTACCTCTGCCTCCCAAGTACTGGGATTAAAGGTGTGCACCTCCAATGTCCAGCTAGAAAGAGATCTTTGAGTTTAACTTTTTTATGTAAATGGACAAGGAGCTTTTCTGTCCCAACCGCTAGTTCCAAATAATCACACAAAAGCTTATATTAATTACAAAATATTCAGCCTATATCCCAGGCATATTACTAACCAGCTCTTACAACTTAAAATAACCCATTTTTACTCATCTACATTTAGCTACATGGCTAATGGCTTTACCTGTTCTCTAACACATCTTGTTCCTCTGGTGGCTGGTTCAAATGTCTAACTCTGCCCTTCTTCCTCTGTATTTTCAGTTTGGCTTTTCCACCTAGCCTTATTCTACATTGCTATAGGCTAAATCAGCTTTTTTTAACCAACAAGAGTAAAGCATATTCAAGGATACCCACAGCATTTCCCCCTTTTGTCTAATTAAAAAGGAAGGTTTTTAACTTCAACATAGTAAAATTATGTATAACAAAACAGTTTTATGAAATAAGAATTACATTTACAATATTGAGTATATTTGTATTTGGCAAAATCAGATAAAACATTCAATTGTTTATCCTATTTTGTTGAGTCCAGAGTTTTAGATCTAATTACCCTTTATTATAACTAAGAAAAACTATTTAATACAGACAGGAAGAAGGGCAGAGTCAGGAGTTGCAAGCCATCCCAGAGGAATGAGGCCTGCCAGAGGACAGATAAAGCCACAAGCCATGTGGCAAAATGTAGATGAACAGAAATGGGTTAATTTAAGTTGTAAGAGTTGATTAGTAATAAGGCTGGGATATAGGCTGAATATTTTGTAACTAATATAAGCTTTTTCTGTAATTATTTGGGACCAGGTAGTCAAGACAGAAAAGTTCTGCCTCCATTTATAGGCATGAGCCACCATGCCTGAATGAAATATTTTAGAATAGCAAAACAGTAATACAAAAATATCCAAAAGTTAACATTAAATTATAATTATACATAAATGGATTAGTGTATCATGTAGTCACTAAAAATAATAATAGAAATCTTACCAAGGGAGCTGGGTGGCAGGGCCCCAAAGAGCAAAGTGTAAAAAAATAACCAACAACATAAGCCAGATTCAGAAAGACAAATTTTTAAGTTGTCTCTCATATATGGAATCTAGAAATGTGTGTGTGTGAGAGGGAGAAAGAGAAAGAGAGAGAGAAATGTGGGCCGTTCATACAGAACAAGAAA